GTCTGACCAAGCTCCATACTAGACCTTTGAATTTTTTGTTCAGTTTTTTATAGCTTTTACTGCTACGTCTTGTCAGTATTCTGCTATGTGCATTTCCTGCAGTATCAGTTGTTTCTGTAAGGAAGACATTCCCTTCTTGTGTTGTCACACAGGCACATACAACAGGATCATTGTGGACATTGTTCCACCCATCAAGACTCAGGTTAACAATTTCACCCTCTAGACCTTTTGCACACTGCTCAATTTCTCTTCATACACTTTATCCAACAATTTGCCTGCGACATCTGCTCTGTTGGGTGGACTGTATCCTGGTCTTACTGACTGAACCATGTTAATGAAGTGTGTGTTCTCAATCATAGGGAAAGGAGAGTTTTTGTTGCATAAACAAACCGGGAAATTTTTTCATCAGTTACCTCTTTTTGTAATCTGTTGGTTCTTATCACAAACTTATCTATGGTTGTTTCTGGATGATGGAGATTTTTTTTTTCTTTTTGCTACAGGTGATATACTGTGGCTATGTAACATACATGATGTGACTGAAACACTTTGGCAGATAACTCTAAAACTAGAGAAAATGATGGTGATCTTGAAGGTGGATAGTCTTCAGAATCCTGTATGTTGAGGATGGATTCTCCTAAACAAAATAAGTCAATGCAGTTATTTATTTATTATTACCATACTGCTCATTTAGTATTACTCATTGCATTCACTGACACTCAGTACTACTTTAAAGGTGAAATTGTAAAAGGAAAATCTGCCTATTTCAGCAATTTATTTTTTTATCACAACTGCATCTAAAATGATAGTATCATAGAGTAACCACTATATTTATTGCTCAAACATGAGAATTCAAGAATAGTCCAGAAGGAAGACAGGCAGTCCTTAAGAAAGAAGTATGTAATAAAGAAGTTTACCAGCCTGAAGATCCTGCATTGTTCAGACATATTCCTTTCATTGTCTTCAACACAGCTTTCTCCTGAGAAGGAACGCTTCTCATGATGTTGTTTCATTCAGGCAACCAGGCATTTCTTTGTTGCACTATTTGCATTTTGCATGCGTGCCTGTCTTACCCACAGGTAGAGGAACTTTATTAAAATATTCCCAAACTGGGTCTCTTTTATGGCCTGCTATCATTATAGGTTTTCCCTTCTAGTGAGAGAATGGTATGCTAGATCTCAAATCAATGAAGGCTACACTCAGACCTCAAGACTTCTGGAATATGCTGCTCAAATAGTTTCAATTTTGTTTCTACAGCCTGTCCCTCCCTTCTCACATTTATCTCCAGACTTCTTCTCCTTGTCCAAATCTATTCCGCCCCCAACAATCTTCTACTCATTGAGCTTTCTGAAACTTTGCACTTTTAGAGAGAGGCAGGGGATTGACTCTGTGTACACAAATTTGCAGAAGGACAATACGGTTGAGGTCTGTTATTTCTCACCTCTATATATTTATTTATTTATTTTAAAACATTTTTGCTGTTAACAAGCATGTTATCTCTGGAGACACAGATCCACAGTTTGAGAACTGCAAACCAAGCATCTCTGATGGTATCTTCTAGACTGAGCGCCATTGGGTAGATAGATTAACCTAAATAATCTATACAGAAACCTGTGGAACCCCATAATATTGGGTCCCTAATCCATTAACTATTGGAACTCATTTACAAACTTTTCTTAAACATTATGTGATTATATCGTCTCATACTATAGAATTAGAATTTATAATCCCTATTCCATGATGATAGTTTTAATTAAGATCCATTACAGCTCAAAAATATCTTGATAGGTTTTTTTCCTCAAAAAGCATTTTATCAAAAAATCGATTTAAATAAAAAGAATCTGATTTTTATTTATTTATGTATTTATTTTAAATCATTGTTTTTTATCCACCCTGTTCTCTGGGAAGAGCAGTTTCTAATCTAGAAAGGAACAGCCATTAGCTGAGTGTTCCTAAACCTCTGACTGCCAGAAGCTGGGACTGGACGATGGAATGGATCACTCAATAAATTGCTCTGTTTTGTTCATTCCCTCTGAAGGATCTGGCACTGGCCACTGTCAGAAGACAGGATACTGGTCTCTATGGACCATTGGTGTGCCCCAGTGTGGCTGTCCTTATGTTCTTTGTAGCTTTTTTTCAAGGGAAATACCATGCCCAGTGAAACCCTGTGAAGAAATTAGATGGCACACTCAAAAAATATTTTGTTTTCGATAGTCTATTTCCTGTACGTGATCAGAGCAGTCATGAAATGATTAGAGCTTTGACTACATCCAAAAAGTTTACCTCAAGGTCTCTCCTGTAAAATAGCATCCCTTTGTGATGTAACATCCATCTAGGTGGCTCAGGATTCTGTTGGTGTCTCAGACCGTAACATGGCAATTTCTAGATGGTAGGGTAAGCTCTAAGCTCTCTGACTCTATGCTGGAATGGGGAGAGAAATCTACTAGATGCAAATCTACATTGTTGTATGATGGGGTGACCTGAGGGAGCCCTGCGACACCGGAGTAAGAAGAAATGAGAACAGATGGAGGGGAGGATGGGGTGGGTGGCTTAGGCTGGGTAACTGTATGGACAGAGCAACAGATATGACTCTAGTTATGGCATTTTGGATTGATTAATAGGAAGCTAGGTGGGAAAAGGGGTCAGAGGAGGAAACCTGCTTGATGGCCACAGCCGAAGTCTGGGTAAGTCGCTTAGCTTCTTTCTGCCTCCATTTCCAGTCTGTAAAATGGGGATAACAGTACTTCCCTACCTGACAGGGATGTTGAGGATAAAACACTAAAGACTGAGAGGCACTCAGATACTTTGATAATGGGATTCTTCTAAGTAGGTGAGGTGGGATTCTGTATTGGTTAGTCAGTAATCTTGTGTGACTTATAAATTGGGTTCAAAATGAAAAACAAACATGGTTGCTGCTGAGTAATTAAGTAATTTCATAAAAGTATAATGCTTATCAACAATTATATGTGCTCAACAATGTTAGTAAGCAACAAAATGACTGTCTAGCTCCTACAACAGCTCTGCCAGCCCTTCCCACGCCCATCATTGCAGTGGTGTGTCTGCCAGGGATGTAAAAAAGAGTAACAAATAAATACAACACTGTAAGCATGTATTCTTTTTCTTTTCCTCTTGCTCTCTTACCACTTTTTTCTCTTATCTGTTCTTTTCGTTTACAGTCTGTTCTTCCTTTCTCTGAATAAGCTATATTATCATTTGTGTGCTGTTTTCTCTTCCTTCTCTTAAGTTTCCGCCTCCTCCTGCTTTTCCTCTCCATGCCCCAGTAGTTCCACAGTCTCTTCACTGATAGGATTTGAAGTACTTATCAGACTAGCATAAATTTTTCTTGGTTTAGATGAAATATGGCTTAACCATTAACTGTGTTAAGTTTGAAAAACATATAGGTGGCTAAGTGTTAGAGTACACCACAGAGATAAATAAGAACAAAGGGTTGACAATATAAAAACTATTTTTGAACTGTCCCTTTGATCTGTAATCTGTGTGAACAACCTGAAAATTTTCTTAAATAACCATTTTTCTTGGAAACCTTTTAAAACCACTAAACAACTAAATAATAAACAACTGAAACATGCTAAACTATGAAGATCAGATGGAGATTAGAAAGACTAGAGCAGTAGTCCCCAAACTATGGGGCGCGCCCCTCTAGGAGGGTGGGGGATGCGGTGGGGCCTGGGCCAGCCCCCACAGGGGGCATGGAGGGAGCACCACACAGTCCCGCTCTGCTTTGGCACCAGCTCTGGCCCCAGCTCCTGGCCGTGCTCCTAGGTCCCAATGGTGGCTTTGGGGAGAGGAGGGGGCGCAGACAGCGGTAATGGGGACCCAAGGTAAAAAGTTTTGGGACCCCTGGACTAAAGGAATAAATTAGGTTAACTAGAGTCTTAGTTGCCTTCCAAAAGCAAAGAAAGATTCCCCTAAGTCCTTTTTAATGGAAAGAGTGGTATTTCTTTGCAATATGCCAGATTCTGTCAGCCAATGAAAAACATATTTTGAAGTAACGTTTAGAAAGGTATTGATTTAATGTAAAGTAATATTGCCATTACTTCCAAGCTCCTGATATTTTGGCAATTTTGAGGATGATTGTCTTCATAACAACACTTCGGTGAATTTGAATTTTTCTGCACTGTCTGTGTGTAACTGACTGTTTAGCTTGCTTTATAATCCTAATTTAAAGTATTCTAATATGTAAATAAACTTCATGAAATCACTAAGGATGCTTGTGTTCCTGAATACATAAGGCCAAATCATCCACTTTTATGGGGGTGGGAGGGAGAAACACTAGAGAGGGCCAGTAGTCAGGGAAACTCAGCAAGTTCCCCTGATGTATTAGACTGGTTTGTTTGGAAGAATTAGGTATAGAGGAGGAGCAGAGCATTGTGCTCCCAAAACCTCCAAATTACAGGGATCTGAATAGAGACTCTCTGCAGTGAGAGCAAGGGCCCGCCAGTGCCTTCCTCACCACTCTGGTGCGTGCGCACACAAGTAAATACTATCTGAATAGTAATATAAAACATTATTATTATTGTGCGATTCCCCATCTTTAAATTTTCTGACTGAAATTTTAAATATATCAAAGCCATAATATTGCATTGTTTTTAGGAATGCTTGGGGAGCATAGGCATTTAGTAATATTGTAATAATTGGAAAGTAACCATAGTAAATCCTATTGGAAGATGGACAAACCAAATTTGAGGCAATGATTTAAAAGCTTTTCTTTTAACCTCCCAGGGAAGTGATCATGAATATTGGCTTTTTTGAGGGAGCAGGGAGGAAGTGGTGTGAAAAGAACATTTGGAGGTGGAAAGAGAGAGAGGGAGATTCTTTAGAAGCTTGGGAGGCCAAAGGTGAATCTCGAGTGTTATCGTATTCAGACCTTATTGCTTAATATTTTCTTGGAAAAAAGGGGGAAGGTAAGCTCATCTTATCTAATTTTCCTCATTTATCTGAAATAAATGTATAAAACAATTGTTCTCAAACTGTTCTTGCAGAGAGGAAGATTCAGACAATGAGAAGGATAAGAAACTCTGGTACTATAGCACAAAGGTCCAGCTGGCACAGTTAATTGAATGCCTAGACAAAGATTACTGGGAAGCTGATCTTTGCAAAACTCTTGAAGAAATGTGCCAAGAAATTCATCGGCATATGGATATCACGGAAGACCTTACTAACAAAGCACGGGGCAACAACAAATCTTTCCTTGCTGCAGCAAATGGTAGGAATATCTGTCTATCATGGGAATGAATGTTAAACACTTTCATATTATGATTTTACTTCAAAGTCTTTAAACATTGCAATAATGTCTGCCCCCAAGTTTCAGATACACAAATGCTTTTTTGAAATGTATTGTTAATAACTTTCTAACATCAACCTGGCTGGCAGTAGCAACGTTAAGAACTTTTGAAGTTGCTTCCATATTTCCTGTTTTCAACAGTTCTAGTCCTGCTGAACTGCTTGATATATCTTCTAGACATATTCTTCTAGCACTGCCAAACATATTTATGTCCTGAATTTCCATTAACTTAGTGTTCTGTTCCATGTAAGAGAGAGAGTGTGCTGGGGAAAGGGAGAGAGATGGAGTTTTCATTAGTAAAATGGTTCAGTATCCTGTTAACTGAATTTATGTGGTGATATGACCATTCCAGAGAAGTCCAAATCTATACCTTTTTTTGATTTCATAGGGATTACTAGTGGCAGGGGTTCAAAACAGAGTTGTCCTTCCTGTTAACTCTGTCTGAAGGTAATATTCTTTGAAGGGGAAGAATAAAATTTTGAATTACCTGAGAAATATGACCTATATAACTTTTTAATTTTAGGTCTGTTAAGTTTTGTTTAGAGACCTAGCTTTCTGCATCTGCAGGTCCACATATTTAATACTCCAGTGGCTTTCTGATTATCAGGAAGTACAGGAGAAATTTCCTATCTAGTACTTGTAAACGTTGACACTACAATTATGAATTATGAGATCTACTCAACTTTGTTTTAATTTAACATTTTTACTAAAATTTCATTTCTCCACAGAATTCTTGTTAAAAATTAGCCATATGTTTTAATAGAATATTGTAGACTGCTGTCAAAGTACAGTCCCTTCCAAATGAGTGTCAAAGATATAAATTCCCTAATGTTAAATTTTAGAATTTCTAATTATCCAGCAATCTGGTATAAAGTAAATGTTAAATGCTACTAACTGGGGGAAGTACATAATGCTCCTCAAACACAATTCTATAATGTTACTGCTATCAGTAAATGAAAGAATTACATGTTTTGTATGAGTTATGTATATTGTGGCAATAATTCTTGGTTCTGATGTGAAAGATTTAAAGGAACTCATGGATGTATGTGACTTGGCATTTGGTATAATCTGTTCTCTCTAGATAGTTTTGACAAAGTACAAAATCTAGGGAAATCCTAAACAGAGAAAACAGGCAAGATAAAGTAACAGCCCCCAAGAAACAAAAGTATCAACTACATAGAAACTGTATCTGAATCCTTGTTTACATGCATGCCCTACACAAGCTAACGATTTGTGTAATCTGTGTGGTTTCCTCCAGGAACGAATGCTTTCACTTACGCACTCAATATTTCTTTCAACCCTTTTTTCTTACTGAAATACAATATGCATTTATGTAGCTTTGGCCATATTAAATTAACAGTTTGTTGAGCAATTCAGCTTTTTATATCTTGATGAAAGGATTTTTATTACTTATGAGATATAATTACTGAAAGTATGAAGTCTTTCAAAGTTTAGAAAGCCTTCATTCAACATTGTGAGCAAAGCAGCTATTCTTGCGTCCTTCAAAGAAGGAGTACAAAATAACAAAAACAAGGAGGTAGGATGGTTCTGTATTATTGAGTATCAGTGATTAATGCTCAGATTCATTATACTTTACTGGAAGCCAAAGTGGGATAGGATAAGAATGGCATGACATGAAGAAGGAATTGAGTTGGTGAGAATTCAGTCACATGCAATCTGAATTGTAGTCAGTGGAGAGCACCCTCAATTAATTCTCAATAATAAGTTACAGTAATCAAGTCAAGATCACTATTTCAAGGTCTTACTAGTCAAACCGGATCTTATAATGGCAGTATTAGTGATGTTTAAAAAAAAATATCCGAAGATACCTGTCTGGAGATGAATCTGATTCCATAATTACTTCTTTCTACTTAATACTCAAAAGTTAAAACAGTGAATGTGAATTGCCATGGGTGGAGTGCTGCTCCGCAGATATTTGGAGCCAACCATCAACACCTATGCTCAACTCTCAGTAAGTTACATGGCATGGATTTTTATAGAAGCAGTTGAACAGAAATTACACTGTATTTCAGTGCTTAGCATCACAGTCTCACATAGCTAGTCTTTGGTGAATAGATGTGTAATCCCAAGGAAAGGAGACAAAAGGAAGCAACCATGTAGACCACTTTAAAAAAAAGGCAGAAACAGATTTGATCCTGACCTCCTGATTTCCCCCAGTGTGAAGAGGGGCAGGAATTAACAGGCATATGACACTGGCTATGCAAAATTTTTCAACAAAAACACTGGCGCAAACCCCTAATCTTCTAGAGAAAGTGTGATAGCATCTTTAAACTTTATGTAGAACCCCACAACAATAAGCTGAAACTCAGTTTATCTACCGTGGAACAATAAAGGACTGTGTAAAGGGGTTTGGTATTTTGTACATAACATAATGTTGAGAAATCAAGAACTCGAGCATTCAAATTTCCATACATCTGAAAATGGAAAAAGGAGTAAGAACTTGGATGTTATTTTTGTTCTTAGCTCCTGGCTTTTGTTTTGTAATTGTGAAAGGTAATGCTTTAAACCTGAAGGCCATTTTGATTTAAATGACTTCTGATTTAAGACTTCTACTTAATGGCTCTATAAAAGGGTATTTTGATACCTGTCGCCTGAATTTTACTGTTTTTTTTCCTACTGTAGATGAAATATTGGACGCTATTAGAATAAAAAAAGGAGAAATAGTGGAGGATAAAAGTCAAGCAGCTGAGGAAACAGATAAGGACAAAAATGATGTTGAAAATAATGACCAAACAGATACTGAAAAAAGCAAGGAAGAACCTGCAGACCAACTACAGGAAAAAAATGAAGAAACACCACCTGAACAAGATTCAGAAAACGGAAAAACAGAAGGTAAAGAAACTAACCTCACATTAGCAATATTTTTGTTGTTTTAAAATAACCTTTTACTATCACATTTACTTCTGGAAATATTAATGTAATTTTTTACACTGGTAAGATTTTTTTTAAAATTGCTTTTAAAGAGATAATGCTAGTTTGCTTCTTTATGGTTATATACCATTGTTTCTCTTTGGTAGTGTTGGATAGCTCATTTTCCCTACTGCTGTTTTACAATTTGACTCCACTTTTGCTTTGAGAGGTCTGGCATGGAGCTCACTGGTGGCAGTCAATATGTGTACATCCACCAGTGTCAAAGGATTGATTTCTAATGCTATTTTTTAATTAGGATTAAGTATTTTTGGCCTGTTTCTGTTCTCTGATTCTATGAAGACATTATCCTTACTGCAGAAATACACTCAATATATTTTGGTGCTACAAAGTAGACATAATACAAGGAACTGCACAAAGTCTGCCTTTTAGCATGGATAAGGACAGATGACATCCTAAGGAAATGTTAAGAATATCCTTAAAGATTTGTTGTGCATTTTACTGTAGAGCCAACAGACGTTGGGGATAAAAGTAACTCTGTGGCACCAAGCACAGACGGCAGCACCACAAATCCTTCTGCAGGAGAAACTAGTTCCTCTGAAGGGAAGAACGCAATGGGGTGTCAGTCAGAAACCTTTGATAGCAACAATGTGGCAGAGAAGAAGGTGGCATCAGAGCTCCCCCAGGATCTCTCAGGTACAGAGGGCTCTGTATCAATGCCTCTGTAATTTGGGGAACCTTTAAGATTTTCTTATTATAAATTCTGGTTTGTCAACTAAAACCATTTACAGTGTATGTTCATTCATGCTATTTGCTTGCAGTGCCATCCTTTACTGCTGCATTGTCATCTAACATTTAGAATTTTTTAATGTGGTCCTCCCTGCTTTTAGCATATGCTTCCATGGACTCCAAAGATTTCTGTGGCTAAGCTTTTCTCATATTCTGTTTGTTTTATTTTTCTTCATTGCAAACCATAGTGGTGGTGAACATCCTACAAAGGTTTATTTCAAGCTCTTATTTGCTAATGGCTGTTAAATTGTTTAACCTGTAATATACTGTAAAAATTACTAGCAAGAAATTAGTATTTGCAGTTAATCATATAGGTTCTTGCATTGGGTTGCCTGGAGAAAAGTTTTGCATCATCCCAAAAATCTGTACGCTGATGCTTAATAATGTATGTACAAAGTTTGTTTTTATTTTAAGCTGTTTTTTATTTCACTGCAGCAGTAATTCGCTACTCCATAAAATACAATACAATTCTTTTCTTGACACTCAGGAATGAGTATGACTTGCTTAGGTCTGGAGCATTAATTAGTACATTAAAATCATACAAATACTTTTTAGAAAAGAGAGAGAACGTTGTACTTTTGACCAAATTCCTACATTAGCAACAGATAAGTTAATTTGAATAACTCGTAGCATTAATTAAGATGATGAAAGTTGTATTTTCACTTGAATCAATATTACAAATAAGGTACTGCAGTTGAAAAAAGTACACTTGGTACGCTAGATTTGAAAGTTGGTTCTTGATAACGCATTGAAAAATGTGGTGTGCTGTGCTCCAAGAACAAGTAAAATGCCTCCATACAGACATAGTTTGTAATGTTTCAAGGTGGTTATTTAACTTTTAAAACATTATTGTATTTAATTCTTTTGTATGAAATGACCCTCGTTATTCTCCACCACCAGTTAGTTTTATTTCTCTCCATTAGTAGGTAGCTTCGTAATTGGATTAGCAGTTTTATGTACATCTCCAACAGGGAAAATCTGCTTGTGCTTGGGGGGAAAAATATATATATTTTTGTTTAGGGTTTATAGATCAAGCATAATTTTTTTTCCATTACTGTTCACAAATCACCTGTTGAGTACATATTTCCTTGTAGAGTTAATGAGGAAATAATCCCGTTCTTACAGGATATTACTGAAGAGGCATAGGGAAAGTACATATGCCTGTTGATTCAAAATTTGAGTTTATATTTTTTGTTTAAAAATTCATTTATGAAGATGCTTATTGGGCTGGACTCTGGGCTGCTGTTCCTTGTTACGTTTTTGCAAGTAGCTCTAGCTGGTTGCACCCAGCTAAGCTTTTCTACCTGCAACCTCCCCTAAATTTTTTGCTACCTCATAGTTATAAGTGTGCTACTACTGCACAGTCATAGTCTTTGGGACCTTTATTGAAGAGCGTGGGGAGACCTATGATATACAACAGGCAGGCATCCATTCCCACATAGGTGTAGCAGAAGCTGAAATGTAGATATGGAAGAGAGAATCTACCCATTTTCTTCCCAGTTATATGTCCTCTGGATCTCAGGTCCTTATGTGAATCTAGGTTGGGTGGGGATGGTCTACCTTCCCCTTCTCCTCCAAACTCCAGGCCTTAGATGGTTCTATCCTCCCCGACCAGCAATAGGGCAGGTGGACCAAATCACACTGGTCATGTTTTGGATCTGTGTCTCATCCAAAACAAGGTTAGGGGTGCTCTGAGAAGCCTTGGATTCTTAGCAGATTTATTCCTTTGCTTCTTTGATGGTGAGTACTTCCCAGAGAGGGAGACCCGGTCCCCTCTCAAAAGGATGGCAGGATCTTTCTATTCTATATAGGGCTGTATACCACATTCACCACCAAAGTATCTGAGCACCTGATCTTTAGCACCCTTGGGGAGGTGATGTCCAAAGTCTGGATTTTGTCCAGGGAGGACTCCAGGAACAGAGGGCCCTCAAGAAGAGGTTGTTCAAGTTCAGGCAAAAGCCCTCTTTGTGTTTCCCTTGTACAAGGTTATCAAGGAGATAGGGAACCCTGAAATAAGCCAGATGCTCACCAGGCCCTAAAGCTAATTGTACCTTTTCTTTTCTGTGCCTGCTTAAGAGATAGTATGAGACCCATAGGTCCCTCCTGCATGTAGGCACCCTAGTCACTAATTTGGAGAGTCAGAGCTCTAGATGGAGGAGGTATGTTTTTTCTGTAAGATTCTGAGCTCAGGAGAAATCATGATCTGATCACAGACCATTTTGACCGATTCAGCCATAGCCTTGTGCTTTAAGACATCAGCTGTTTAGTTCCAACTTCTGAATCTAGACTCTTTGGCAGATCACAAGTACATGGAGATCTGGACCAACCTGCTTGGTTTCAGACTTATTGCCAGAGGTCTCCCTAGACACACAAACCTTGGTCTCCTTTCTACTTATGAGTAACCTCATGGTGGGAAAAGCCACTGGTTAAGGTTAAGATGCCAAGAGCGACAGACACTGACACTCATTATTGCTGCTTTTAAAGGTGGGAGGCCTTGAATCAAGCTCTTCAGAATTTCCAGGTTCAGGACAGCCTGTGGAGCCCAAGTAGTCTTCTTTCGTCCTTCTTTCACCATGCTCAGATCCTCTTAAGTCTTACTACCAGATGAGGTGCCAGAAGTCCTACAATTCAAGGACTTTAAGGAATGGGCCCAAACTGGCAGAGTCCATCAAACCAATTAAAATGTTTTTATGTCAGGGAAGCAAGCTTCTTCTCCATCCTTTTGGAGGGCAGTCCATTTCTTCTACCAGTAGTGAGGGGATAGAACACAAAGTACCTGCTAGGTGGCCAATTACTTCACTAGAATACTTCATGGACTTCCAGCCTCTTCTGAGTTCGTAAAGATTTTGTCCATCTTTTGTATCTCATAGGTCAAAAAGCGAAAGCAGTAGGCAGGCATGTCATTTTTAGACTATCAGAACCGTCACAGGTGTGTGTTGCAGGGATCTACTCTGATTTTGCTAATTATAACATGACATGGATAAAGATTTAACTCTCACCATCCTGGATATTCAGAAAGCCATTGGAGTAACAGGAAAACGTAATCAAATCATGTTGCATTAAGGATGTTATAGGTGTTAATTCTGAATTTCCCTTCTTTTGTAACTGTCAGAACTGTTTAATTTTGTTGTAGAAAATGTCATTCACAAATGTTACAGATAATAGAAATAGGGTCTTCATTTTTCATGTGGGCACTTAAACACTAAGTCATTTGTGCCATATGTGTGAACTAGTCTATGTAGAGACTTGTTTCCAATATATGTGGATAGGTGGATGTTTTTTAGAATTTCTAGTTTAAAAAAAGGCAGTTCATCCAGTCAGAGTAGATGTGTAGATGTTCGTAGGCATATTCATTGTCTTGGTGAAATTGTTGCTTAGCTTTAAGAGATGAGGGAGAATCTGCATTTTAAATACAGCTACAGGCAGTGTGATCCATTTACTTCTAATTCAGAGATGGTAAATAAAATACAGATTAAAAAATTACTTCATGGGCCACTGTCAGTTTTAAAAAAGATTTATCTGTTACTAATAACACTTTATATTTTTAAAACTGTAAGAATTTTTAAAAAAAACTTCTCACCATTAATGTTCCATTTTTGCATTCCCTCTAGTTTGGATAACAAAAACAAACTAGTCACTCTCATTTCTTGGTTTTTATTCTCTAGCGCAGTCCTGTAATGCTTAGGTTGCAGACACAAAACTAGGGAGTCTACTTTGTTTTATTAAAAAATATACTCAGTAAAGATGTGTATAAAAATGATTGACTTCTATTTAGTCTGTTTTACAAGGCTTGTTTTTATAAAAGATTTAGGTTTTGTAATTTTGGGAGAAAACTTAATCTAAAAAGTTGTAAAAGTATAGCAGTTATCTTTTTAAAATGTAAGTATTCTTCAATGGATCCAGTGCTCTGGATAGAAGTCATAACTCATGGGTATTTCTCTGCAGTCTAGCAAAAAAAATTGAAGTTCTTTGGGAGGAGGAGGAGGACCTGGAAGCATCATCACTTGCACTCGTGCTTGCTGAATTAATCACACCTTTCCTTAGTAAACATTTCCAAAGAAGCAAAACTTTAAAAAAAACATTAATAACTTAAGCTAAAGAAATCCAACTATTACATTGTCAACACTGCATCATCTTTTAGCATGATTTAACATTTCCTCTTGTCCTGACTTGAAGAAAGATGATAAAATCTCATGCTAAACCAAACCTGTATAGAATACTAGACAAATTTAGGGAGTATCTGTCCAGAGCAATGTATCCACATGAGGAGAAACTAAAATTGCAGGTAAGAAAACTAATTTTGTCTTTCTCCTGAGAGTTTGACAGCATGGATAATTTCTAAATTGTTTGGTCTTTGCTGATTCACTCTTTCTTAATTTATATTTTTCTGAACATAGATTTTGGTAATGTTAATCAGCAGTTTCAGAATATCAGGATGTGAAGAATGTTTATCTTAAATGGCAGGTTAGGCAGAAAATCCTGTTTGAAATCTAGGAGAGGTTAAATGCAAAGAACAAAAGAAATAGTGATTAATTTTTCATTTGTAAGTTTGAACTACTGAAAAGCATGTAATTGTCTATAAATAGACACATGAGCTATTCGCAATATTTATGAAGATATTTATTTATGTAGAATTTGTCTATTTAATGCTTAGGGTTAAAACAATCACTTATTGTTTTTACTTTCTTGCTTATTTGACCATAGAAATTTTGAACAGTTGTGGTTGATTTGAAAGCTGATTGGGGAGAGGGGAGATGTTTGTTTCCAGTAGGTGCATATGCCTGTATATGCTTCGTATGTTGTTAAAGATTTTAGGTAGACTTTTTGAGGTAATTAAAACTCCCAATTCTTCCATGTTACAAATGAGTTATTGATGTTTCAGTAGCTCATCTGAATCTTTTAGGCTTTTTAACTTTAAGAAAAAAAAAAGTAAGCTTAATTGATACAATACTAAATATCTAAAGTCCTTCTTTTGTAGAAGAAACTGGTCAGATGACCCCCAGCATCAGTCCTAGTGCATCAGCTGCACCCCTCCAGTCTGTCGAAAACAGCAACAGCAGCGAGCTAAATTCTATGCAGAATGACTCTATTAAGACATCTGATGATGCTGAAAATGCAGAAGGAGGATCCCAGACCTCAGAAGAAATAGGTAAAAATAAGTGTCACTAAGCTTCTTTCTAAACTTGATTCTTAAATTTCTTAATTCCCATACATTTACAATATATTATCTTCATTTTTTTTTTCATGTTTGTTTAAATTACATTTTTGTGGCAGGGGAGAAATCCAACGGTGAAAGAAGTGAATCTCCATGCACAGGAAAAGGCGCATCAGGCTCGACACGGATGCTTACCCGATTGCGAAATCCAGATAGCAAGCTGAGCCAGATGAAAAGCCAGCAGGTTGCTGCAGCAGCACACGAAGCAAATAAATTATTTAAAGAAGGCAGAGAGGTTTGTACTCATTTTGAGAATTCCCAAAATACAGGATTATATTGGTAACAGAAGAAGAAACCTTCTTGCTGCTACAGTCTTAAGAAAATGGGGTCATTGACATAGTAGGAGGTACATGAGAAATTCACAAGTTGGTGGAATTGCCATATCAGAGATAGTTCTTCCTCCTTTTTGTACTTTATTCCACCCCCTTTCTCTCTGTGTAGCTGCTCTCTGATTTGCTCTCTGTAGAGTGGTGTGACAATAACAAAGTGGAGTAGAGTCGTTTTCCTTTAGTGTGAAGCAGGTTCTGTTGGTTTCCTTTTCCAGGAGAGTGATGCAGTGGGTATGGTGTACACACACAAAATAGTTAAATATATTTTTACCCCTATTTCTGTTGATCAGATATGTAGAAATTCTCTTGCTAATTGTAACTTCTTGGTATTTTCTTGTCATACTTGACTGTCATGTACCTTTGTGTATTCCACTGAGGGGTGTACATGTGCCCCATGCCTCTGAGATTGAGGATTCTCCTCCTCATGCTCTGAACTGAGGGCATAAGGGGCGGCAAAGACTGACAATTTCTGAAGATCCTTTCTACTGCCTGTGATCTGAGATGGAACCTTTTCTGTGTCTGCAACGTTTGCTAGTTGCTTCTGTGTCAAACTGTAAATATTTGTAAATAACTTTTAGACAGATTTTATACTTGGGTATAGTTTTTAGCAGTCAGGGCCTTGGGAAGTCTTCCCCTACCTTGAGCCCCCATCCATATGGGATGACCAGTATGCCCAACAACCATGCCTTCTCAGTCAGCGGTGACCATCTCAAATGCTTCTACTGCCTCACGGAAGTTCATGTCCCCTCCAAGTGCACTTTTAGCCAATCTCTTCCAAGCCGAACGCATCAAGCCTGTGAATATAGGCTCTGGAGATTCCTAATAAATCATGCTATGAGATGCCTGTTCAACCCTCACACAACAGATGCCTATGTACATCAGGCAGAGGCATCAAGTGTCTGTCGGAGCACAGTGACCTCTGCAGCTGTGGTGCTTATAGGAGTAGAGCTGAGGACTCCAAATGGCGTGAGATGAGTAGGAAACGTTCTGATAAGAAGCAAGAGAAATCTGCCTCCAGATACGCATCCGAAAAAAGGACCTCTTCTCCGACATCCCCCAAGTCGCCCCAGTGGGAGTGTCAGGAGTTCACAAAGAGCACAGCATTGTCTCACTGCTCCAAAGAGTAAGTCACCCCAAAATTGGCATTAACCACAGGAGCAGGATCGTATTCATTACCAGTCAGAGAGAAGTGGAAGTAGATGCCTTCTATATTGATGGTACTGTCGTATTATGATAGGGAGATGTCGGTACCAAAGGCCATGACAAGACCGAGACTGCTGGTGCCACCGAAGGAAATGAGTCCATTCTACACCCATGTGTATGGGGATAGATACACCACCCCCATAGGATTTTGCCATCCTCTCAAACCTGGAATCTCTCATCCTGTAAGAACTGATCCTGACCAAAGGAGATCACCACACCATCGATCCAAGGGATGGAAGAGAGGGAGAGCCACTCACCAGTACCATCTACCAGCTGAAGCATATCAAGGCCCCAGTGCCGATGGCATCACCCTGGGAATCTGAAGCTACTGCCTCCTCTGAGTCAGTGTCAACACTCCCATCGAGACATAGGGTCAGTCCAGACAGAGGATTCAGAGTCTCTTGGGCACCATCTTGATCTTATAGGAGCGATTATGCACCTCAGGACCAATGGTACCTACTCCATAGGGACCACCTCAGTTCCCATTTGACCCCTCGTACTGCCCTTATGGGAGCTCATGAGACCCATACATGTGATATTCCGTATCAGACAACATGAGAGCAGTGTGCTACTTCAAACAAGGGAGAGCAAGATCCGCAACTCTCTGTACAGAAATGATCAATCTCTGGAACTGGTGTGCTTGCCACCAGATCATCCTCTCAGCAGTGCACCTCCCAGGAATACATAACAAGTTAGACAGCCTCAGCAGGCACTTCTCCAGGGACAGCAAAAGAGAACTACACAATTTGGTAATACAGAACATATTTCAACAATGAGGATCCCCATCTTTGGACTTCCTTGCTCATTTCTTGTTTTCTTGAGATGCAGTCTGCTGTTGCAAGGGGACTCAATCCCTTGTCAGGACAACTAATATACACCTTCCCACCCATTCCACTCTTACCTCAGGTTCCGAGATGGAACAAGCAAAAGGGAGCGTTGGTTATTCTTATTGCTCCAGACGTCCCAGATGGTTCTGGTTTCCCAACATTCTACAGACGTCAAAATGTCCATACAGCTGTATTCAACTCTTTCCAGATCTAGTGAACCAGTGACTGAGGCAAAATCAGGCATCCCAATCCAGCATCCTTCCACCTGACAGCTTGGCATTTGCCTGGATGATGACCCTAGAAAAGACATGCTTGGAACTAGTTCATTACCTCCTTAACAATAAAAGAGGAGACACGTGAGAGTGCTACACAACAAAGTGGAAAAGATTTTTCGATGTGGTGTCAACATTGTCAGATGGCCCCAGGGGGTTCCAATATCTGTGTCCACTTGGAATAGCTTCTCTTCTTAAAGACTTCATGTCTACCTGTTAAATCCCTTTGGATGCAATTAGCAGCTGTCAGTGCCTGTCGTGATCACTTGATCTTCACCATCCTGTGACAGTTTCCTAAAGGGTATCGTTAGAACCTTTCCCCGGTACTGAAAATTACCCTGGCTTGGGACCTCAACATAGTCCTATCAGCATTAATGGAGATTTCACTTGAACATTTAGACATATGTTCCTTAGCCCATCTATTGATGAAGGTTGCTTTTTTGGTGGCCATCACGTCAGCCTGAAGGCTAGGAAAGCTGGGGACCCTCATGGCACATTCACTGTACACAGCCTTCCAGAGGGACAGTCTCCTAAAGACTACACTTGAAAGACACACCCAAAGTGATCACAGAAATCCATCTAAATCAGGCTGTTCGCTTACCTGTCTTCTTCCCAAAGCCATATGCTACCAGTGAGGATAGGAAGCTTCACTCCCTGTATGTCTGAGCCTTGGCATTCTACTTCTAGAGGACTAAACCTTTTAGAAAAATCACCTAGATTATTTGTATCCCTTGCAGAACATATGAGAGGTGAAGCAATCTCATCCCAAAGACTGTCCAAATCAATTTTGGACTGCATCCTGCTCTGTTACGAATTGACGATGACCTCTTCCCCACATCTTGTGAGGGACCACTTGACTGACCCGGGCTGCGTCAGTGGTCTTGCTTCAAGGAAATCTGCAGAACAGCACGGCAGGGTTCTGTTCACACTTCTACGAGACATTACGCCGTAGTTTAAGCTTCTATGGCTGACGACTCGTTTGGCAGAGCAATCCTTTAATTGGTGGTACAGCCAGGGTCCTCACCCTTCTCTTCAATGAATACTGCTTGTGAATCACCCTCAGTAGAATATACATATGGACCACTCGAAGAAGAAAGTTAGTTATTTACCTTACGATAACTGGAGTTCTTTGAGATTTGTGGTCCATATCAGTATTCTAATACTCACCCTCCTTCCCCGCTGCTCCAGAGCCTTATCCTAAGGTTACTTGCATTAGGAAGGTAACTAGAGAGGCAGTCTGTCCACGCTGCCCCTTCTGCTCCTCGTGCTCCAAACTGAGAGCATAAGGACCCAGGCGTGGACCTATAGACAGTGCTAGCAAGAATTTTCCAATCTTAGGCACATGAAGTGCCTGCACAACTGTCAGTGGAAAACAGATAGGGACCACACATCTCAAAGAACTCCAGTTACTGTAAGATAGGTAACCTTTATTTATTTTACTTATTTGCATACACAAATTCCAACTTCTTTGCACACCTATTTTGTAGGTGCAACTCCGGTGCCTACATTAGAAAACTTGGCCCCTAACTTTAATACTGTTGTTACTATTTTAGTACTGTTAAAACGTTTTGAAGGTAAAAAAGATTAAATAAATTAGAAGAAATTAATACAATATAGAATTCAGAATGAATGGATGTGACTTTGAAAATTGAAGGCCTGTATTTTAAACAGGAATATAATAAAGATTATTTAAGATTTTAAATAAGTTAATTAAAAAAAAAACACCAACTTTTTGTTTCTTTAACAAGGTTCTGGTGGTTAACTCCCAAGGGGAAATCTCCCGGTTGAACACCAAGAAAGAAATCGTGATGAAAGGAAACATCAGTAATTATTTCAAGTTAGGTCAAGAGGGGAAGTATCGTGTCTATCACAACCAGTATGCCACCAACTCATTTGCATTGAACAAACACCAGCACAGAGAAGACCATGACAAGAGACGGCACCTTGCACATAAATTCTGTCTGACTCCTGCTGGAGAGTTCAAATGGAATGGGTCTGTACATGGGTCCAAGGTTCTTACCATATCTACGCTGAGGCTAACTATCATTCAGCTAGAGAGCAACATCCCTGCATCATTCCTTCACCCCAACTGGGCCTCCCACAGGTAAAGAAATAGCAAATATTTTTGGTTGACCCATATTTTATTTCATAACATTACTTTGTGGCACAGGTGCCAGCTTCCTCCTTTCCCTGAGGGTGTTCAGCCCCTGCCCTGCCCCCACTCCACCCGTTTCTCCAAGACCCCACCCCCATCCCGCCTCTTTCCACCCCCAGGTGTGCCCCAACCCCGCTCCTTCCCCTCTCCCCCAGCACTTCCTACATGCCACTGAACAGGCAGGCGGGAGGCTCTGGGAGGGAGGGACGGGGAGGAGCTGATCAGTGGATTGCCGGCTGGCAGGAAGTCCTGGGGGGTAAGGAAGGAGCTGATCAGTGGGGCTGCTGGTGGGTGCTCCAGACCCAGAGCACCCACGGAGTTGGCGCCTATGCTTTGTGTTGTCCTTAGTCATATCACTCTCATAGACAATAGATATCATTGGAACAGAAACTTGAATAAATGTGATATGTAATGCATAACTGAAATTATGCAGTGTTTTAGCAAATATATTTTAATAGTTTAGCCTACTTTAAAATCCTATTAATGTATTGCTCATAGGATGAACTTGATATATTTTACATTCTTTCCAATGTAGGTCTAACTGGATTAAGGCTGTTCAAATGTGTAGCAAACCTAGAGAATTTGCACTAGCTTTGGCTATATTGGAGTGTGCAATTAAACCAGTTGTCATGCTGCCAATTTGGCGGGAGTCGTTGGGGCACACTAGGTAAGAGAAGCTTTATGAATGTATTCTACTCTTATCTGCAGCATTGGTTAAGCTAAAACTATATAATTAAGAGTATTGATGAGAATTCAGTCAGACATCAGTCAGACATTCTACCAAATGATACTGAAATCCTTTTCCTTCAAACAATGATTTACTTAAGCCCAATGATTTACCTAAGCCCCAGCCTCAACTGACATCAGAGGGGGAAGTCTAAGAAAGCAACAGTGAAGAACTTTCAAAAACCCCAATTTGTTGGGATCTGACATTATTCTCTAATCTTGGCATAAGAATAGGAGTAACATTAATGATGTTGAATACTCTTGCCATCAACTGCTTTTGCAATTGTGTAAATGCTCATAAAAGTAACATTATCGCAAGTAATATCAAGGAGTCTGGTGGCACCTTAAAGACTAACAGATTTATTTGGGCATAAGCTTTTGTGGGTAAAAACCTCACTTCTTCAGATGCATAGAGTGAAGTAATGTATGTTATTAATATTATTCCGTAATCTAATATTATTCATTGATAGTTTTTTCCTTCGTCTAAATCTTAGTCATTCAAGGGGGTGGTATGTGCCATTGTTAGGGTGTTCAAATTTGCTTACACAATTTGACTGTATTTGCATGTATTAGATTACACAGAATGACAGCTATTGAAAGAGAAGAAAAGGAGAAGGTGAAAAAAAAAGAGAGGAAACAAGAGGAGGAAGAAACAATGCAACAGGCTACATGGGTGAAATATACTTTTCCTATCAAACATCAGGTAATGTTTCTCCCTAGCAATTTTTGTTTTATTTTTAGAAATAATAAAAGGCTTTATTTTTGTAGCAATTGTCCTTTATACAACTCTGTTTTATACTTAAGATGTTAATGACCAAATTCTTCATTCCATTGCTTCAGTGAGAGCCATGTGCTCATATTCAAAAACGGAATTTGGCTCCGAGTTAAATTTCTAACATTATTTCCGGACTTGATCATTTGAGGTTGCCTGTGTTAGAATTTCTTATTTATGATGCAAAATATGCAACTGTTTTTAATGGAAGTATAATAGGTGAACAGTGGAGTATCATCGAATATAAAAAGAAAGAAGTCTTTTAGCTAAATTGTGCTGAAACGATATGTGAAACAATGAAACATTACTGTTGAAACACAAAAGTTACATATTAAAGGCTATGATATTCTTCAGTGGAGATTCATTCATGGATTTGACTTGGTTGCATTTGCTTCTGAATTTTTAGGGGATTTGGTTTTTGTTGCTCATACTCTCTAAAGTAGAAAACAACTAGAATAATATCCTGAGCTCATGGGCTAACAAATAAAGATAGTCTTATTTTAAGCTAACATTTGTTAGAATTTTGCTATCGGACTGAGTTGTGTTGTCAGTTTATTTTTGGGTATACATTTTGCAACAGATGTCCTCCAATATGCAAAAGCTAACAAAATTGTATATCTGCTTCTTTCAACTTATTAAAAAATTCCTAGTCAGTGGTGATGGCATATGTACAATCTTTGTAAACACGCCATTGATCATTAGAATTAGTGTCCAGAAGCTAAAATTGCTGGAGATTTCTTCCCCTTCGTCCCTCAAAAAAAACCCAGACTTTCTTACAACATCCTTTCATCCACCAACTTCTCCCTTCCCTCCAGATAAAAACCTTGGAGAACAGATAGGCTTCACAGCATGAGCTGAAGATTAGCAAATTGGGTCTTGGTGGAAAGCGAATTCTAGTCAATGACCTTTTGCTGAAAACACCTAACCTCCAGCTGCATCGCTGTTAAATTAGGATGCTGTAAACTGGAGTCCTTCAAACAAAGCAAGATCACACGAGGGAAGAAGTAGTCTCTCAGAAGTTACCAGCACCCAACTCATTTAAATGATTAAGGGGGGCTATTGATTTTTATTCAAGAAAATTTTCTTTTAGCCTAAAGTATTGTACTCCTGAAAAGTACTATGTAAGTGCAAAGTAATAGTGTTATGGTAACTTGCCACACTTCTTTAAATCCATCTTTAAAGGTTTCAGTAAATAATCTTTTAAAAAATTAATGTTGTAAAATATTTAACAGGTTTGGAAACAAAAAGGAGAGGAATATAGAGTAACAGGATATGGTGGTTGGAGCTGGATTAGTAAAACACATGTTCATAGGTTTGTGCCTAAATTACCTGGAAATACTAATGTCAATTACAGAAAAGTGCTACCAAGTAAGTGAACCTTTCTTTGTTTTCAATTAATAACATAGTACTTACTGAATTTAGTAGACTGCATTAAAATATCCCAGATAAATAGGCTTTGTTCTAAATAGCGTTCTACGTAAACTTGGGGAATTTGCTGTTGCCTTTTTTCTGTATAATGCGTGTATTTCAGCTGTCCCACAAAATTGACCATTTATGTTAAATTGGCTCATTTATGAAGTTGAGGCAGTTTGTAGTGCTTATAAATGTGCATCTTCACATCTGCTTTGTTCATGGACAATCTATGTCGAAAAATAGCATTCATAAGCTAGTTATTGAAGATATATACCTATTTTCTATATTAAACAAATATTGTACCATTACCCAACTTGATTTGGAAACCATAGTTTTGCAGTGGGGAAGGAAACCATTCTCTACAGAAATCGTGATACGGGTCTTCAGTTTTTGTGAGCAAGCAGTCCTATGAATGAACGTGATCTAAGCTCCGTTTGGTACTGTTGACCCTTAAAAGTGTCTGTCTGCAATTTTATTTAGAAAAGTAGTAGTTTGCAAATAATCTTGGATTTCCTTCTAAATATTAGAAAATTGTGGGTGAATTTACTGCTATGAAACTTTTAAAAACATGTTCTGGAATCCACAAAAACATGCAGGCTTCCTCTGCAGTATTACTTGTGGACACAGCCTTTGGGTTGCTTTTGTAACTGCTAGATTGGATTATTATTGCCTCATGGAGTGCAGAGTGACAGTCAGGTACAAAGTCTTTGCCAGTTGGATAGTTGGGTCCATCCAGGGCTTAAGGTGTATAGGCCAAAATTAAAAAAAAAAATTGGAACTATCTTGAGACACTGTAAAGGGGTCTGATTTTCAGAGGTGGGTGCTCAGTTCTTTCTGGAAATCAAGTCCTTTTAAGGTATCTCACACTGGGCTTCCAAAAACACTAGTCACTTTTTAAAATCCAGACCAAAGAGCCCAAGCCTGCAGTGGATGGAATTTTTACCATTTTCCAGGATTGGGCCCATAGCATACATGTATATATTCAACATTTGAGCCCCTTACTTGAAAGTATCACTGGAGTGTTGGGTTCTCTTTCTACATATTAACCATGACACATGGTTAATTTTGATTGCAGGAGAGATGAAAAGGTAAAATATTGTACATGATGCGTGTAAAATGCAGGAAATAATGTAATTAAATCATTAACAATGTACAGAGTTATTTTGAGCAAGTTAAAACATTTAAAACTTTCTACTTTTTTAATCTATTGCTAATAGCAAAGAATGATGGTACCACTGAAAATGAGTGTGAATTGGATAAAAGAAAAAGTCCAGCAAAAGTAAAAATAGAGACTGATTCTTCTAAAGAAAGAAAAAAAGATTCTCATGATCCACAAGAGAAGGACCAAAAGGAAATAGAAATTTCTGAAACCTTGGAGAGAGTCCAAGTAAAGGAAGAAAACAAAATGAGTGAAGAAAAGGTGGAAATTGATATGAATTCTGAAAACTTAGATCATGCAAAAGCTGAAGGTAATACAGACATTTTTCAGACTTGAATGTGACATACCAGGGTGCAGTCCAGACAGGTGAGGGACTGTTTACCCCTCCCCTGCAACCTTGGGTGCCGTACAATACCTTGCTGGTAGTAGCTCCCACCTGGGCTGCTCACAAACAGCCTTCCAGCATGCAAGTCACATCCTGAGTGTCTGTGTGTAACTGCAGCCTGCCAGCCACACTTGTGTTACACTCCGACTCTCACCAGCCTGGGCTATGTTGCATGGTGACCCCAACACACTCCCAGTCCCAGATTTTCCCCCAGAAATATGTCTTCTAATGCCCAGCCCTCTCCTGGAGAGTCTGAATATATTAAGTCCATTACTCTTTTAAGGGAATAATATACTGCCTTAAGTGGAGTCACCCAGACACTTCAAGTTAAACACACTGGATTAGATAAAACAATAAAACAAGTTTATTAACTACAAAGAGAGATTTTAAGTGAGTACAAGGAATGAGGCATAAGAGTCAGAAATGGTTACAAGAAAAATAAAGATAACTGGCTTTCTAATGCTAAATTTAAACTATTAGATTCAAGTAAAGTTTCTAACCAAGTGTTTCCAATAGCACTACTGACCAGAGTCTTCAAGTCAGCAACTGTCCCCCCAGAATCCAATGGCTGTTTTCTTTGTCTTCTCAGGTGTGGAGAATAAGATGGGCGGGGGGGAAGGGAGAGGAGGACCTCTTGGGGTATTTGCCCCTCCATTTTATAGTTTCAGTCCCTCTTTGAAAGGCATTTCCGGTTGAGAACCGAGAGACGAGTCTGGCGGAGGAAGGAGATCTCATGCTGTTTCACTGCTAAGATGCAGATCTTTGTCCCTGCCCCCCTTCCTTGTCAAAGAATGACCTCTTGATAGGTGATGGCCCATCAGTTTTGTTGACACCTAGCTGGGGCGTCGGCTTGTCTTTTGTGTTTGAAAAACTGGTTTAGCCACTCCCCAGATTTATCTGAGAAACACTCTTCAGTCATGATTTCAGCTTATGTTCATAACTTTACACACAATGTTGCTATATGCATTTTACTATATTACTGATCAACAAATTGTATTTTCAAGTGATACCATACAAGCGTGCCTTGTACAGAGATTATTACAATAGTGTGTAGGGTGTGTGAATACAAGGGTGCATTCTCTCTCACACACTCTCTCTCCACCTAGGATATATGTTATATATTTTTATGTATGTTAAAGCACAAGAAACCTTTTAACAAATCCTTTTTAGTTTTGAGAGTCTCTGGTGAAGTTTTTTGACTAGTTTTTAGTCATTGTATTTCATACTACTTGTCTGCAGTAGTGTACTATATGCAAATGTCTTAAGTTTTCTGCTTCATGTTTTTCCTAGCCTAGTTAATGTTTATCCAGCCCTTTGTGTAGTGCTGTAAGTGCTGTTATTACTTTAAAACTTTATGTAAAAATGAAAGTTATTTATTGTATTGTGTCATTACTGAGAGGTCCTACTGATTCAAAAATATTTATTGTTCACAGTGGAAAGAGAAGTTGATTGTGAAAATAGAGCCATCAAGGAAGAACCCATGGAGATAGATGATGTAAAAATTGAATCCCCCACAAAAAATGAGGATATTCACTCTAAAGCAGATTTAATCAATGTCAGCGAGGGGTTTCACTTAAGGACTTGCTACAAAAGAAAAGTAAAAACATCAAAATTAGATGGACTACTTGAAAGGAGAGTAAAACAGTTTACGCTGGAAGAAAAACAGCGCCTAGAAAGGATGAAGCTGGAGGCTAGTTCTAAACCTGTAGGCAGTAGATCTGTGAGTCCACAGAAAAACATAGATGAGCCACAAACAACTAAAGCAAAAGAAGGAAGCCAGATACACATGTCTCCCCAAGACAGAACCCATATTTCAGGTAAGATCCAAACTGAAGATTCAGTACAGGACTGCTTGCCAACCAGCAGTACACCTTGTACCAAAACCTGTGAACCAGACCAGCCTTCTTTGCCTTCCATAGACAGACTGTCAAAAAGAGAAGGCCAAGTACTGGATGATGCCTCTGAAATTCAAAGTTCAGTTCAGAACATCACTAAAGAAGGTGATTCTGAACCAATCACTACTGATAATAGTCCAGGACAAGAGGTTCTTAAAAAGAGAGAGAGTGAGAATCCCCTCATGGATGACTTAAAACAAACACACACAGAAGATATAAGCAAGAGTGGCACCTTAAACCATGAAAAATCTTCAGAACAAAAAATATTTAATACCACAGTGTCTCAGAGTGAATGTGAAAACCCATTACAGCCAGTGGTAACTGAAAGCAGCTGTGAAACAGATGTTCAGCCCATTGCTGAAAAAGCAACCTCAGAAGAAAAACCTGAAAAACAGGTCTGTGACCCAGAAAATAATTGCATGCTGAAAAGCCATTCTGAACCAGTGTCCCCACAAGAAAATGAGGGAAAAGATATGGCTCAGAAAAACACAGATGTTAAAACAGAAAACAAGATTTTATTTGATCAGAAACAATCGTTAAAAAACGAGCTAACTTTAGAAAAAACACCTGAAAGCCAAACTCCTGAACACATGGGTGGAGTAAATGTTAGTGGTGATTTATTGAATTCTAAAGTCACTGAAGCCAATGGTGAAAAGCAAGATGAACAGAAAATGGAAGCAAGTACCATAAACAAATGTCTTGATCAGCTGAATCTAAAAAGTATCACTGACAAAAAGAACAATAAACATGGAGAAATAGAGACTAAAGTGGAGAGAGAGAAATCGGTGGCATTTCAAATTAATGGAAAAGACATTAAGGTATTGTCAAATGAAGAATGCTTAATGAAAGATACCTGTGATACTAAGGCAGGGAGTGATATTGAACCTAAAGTCAATAATATTAGTAAATCCATTCCTGAACATGAAATAAAACCATTGACTATTAAAGAATCCTCTGTAAAACCATTCATGAATGGTGATATCACTATGGAGGATACAGATTTAAAAAATAACTTGGATACTAAATCATGTTTTCAAAGTTCTGCAGAGATTGGTGGTGAGTCTGGAGAGTATCCTCTGCTTCCAGATAAAATGTCCAAGTGTGTGCAAAATATTGGAGAAAAGCAGCATTCTCTTGAAAGATCCAGCTCTGTTGATAGTGCTTCTACGCAAGCACAGCTTTCCTGTAAAGAAAACAATGTGATTAGTGAAGTAGAATCCATGGAAACAGAAGCCATTGAGGGTAAGGAAGTTGCACCCTCACCAGTAACTTCTTGTGAGGAATCTAGCTTGAGTAGTGACTTTACTGATCAGAATGGCCTGCAGATGTATAATAAAGTCGAAAATATCAATGGAGAAAATAAAACAAAAAATAAAACTGTTATTACAGAAGTGACCACCACAACGTCAACTGTTTCCACAGAATCCAAAACGGTGTTTAAAGTAGCAGAGTTGTCCGCCTTCAAGGATGATAAACAAACCATGGTGTCATCTACAGAAAATTGTGCCATTTCCACTGTAACTACCACCACCACTGTAACTAAGCTTACCGCACCTGCTGCAGACAGCAATGTTGATGTCATCTCTGTACAGGAGCACAGTAAAACGGTGATTACTACAACAGTAACTGATTCATTAACTATTCCAGGAGGCACATTGGTGACTTCCATGACTGTGAGCAAAGAATATTCCACAAGGGACAAAGTGAAGTTAATGAAATTTTCGAGACCCAAAAAGACTCGTTCTGGAACAGCCCTGCCATCTTACAGAAAATTTGTTACCAAAAGCAGTAAAAAGAGTATATTTGTTTTACCCAATGATGATTTAAAAAAGTTGGCCAGAAGAGGAGGGATCAGAGAGGTTCCCTATTTCAACTACAATGCAAAACCTGCCATGGATATTTGGCCGTATCCATCCCCAAGACCAACTTTTGGTATCACTTGGAGGTACATACTTAATGTTTACCTTTTTAAAGAAGAAATTTGGGATGGGGTGAAATTAACTGTAAAGATGGAAGCAATACAATAGGCATGCCAAAGGTAATTTTTTATTGACTTAAGCTATATCAAAATAGGGCATTCTTATTCCAAAATAAGCATCCACACACAGGTTTGCACTGAAATCACTAAAGGTGTGGATTACAGGTGATGTCAGGCTTGTCTCTATGGGAAGTTAGTGCACAGCAAACTAGGGTGTGAACGTACAGCACACTAGCTACTCCGGTGCTACCTCTTACTGTGCTCAAAAATGCCCTCTGGCAGTTTAGCTCTGAGCTAAACCAACGAGGGTGCTTTAAGTGCTCAGTAAGAGTGTTTATGCCAGGAAGGTAGTGCCAGAGTAGCAAGAGCACTGTAAATTTACACACTAGCTTGCTGTGCACTAACTTCCCCATGTAGACAAGTCCTTAGTTATTTTTGTTCCCCATGTTGACAAGCCCTGAGCTGCCAGTTTTTGGATGGATCCAAACAACACAGAACCAGAGTTTAAAACAGTGTTGTAGCAAGGTTTACCATAAAAGAAAAGTGATCCTGTCCACACTAGACAAAAGTGGTGGAAATAGATTTAAATGGAACTGATTCTCAGGCTCTGTTTAAAGGCCAGTGGAGATGGAACCTCAGTCTTATCTATAATTGGTGAATAGATGGAATAACTTATCTGTTGGAACAAAATAGTTCTGAGACTGTTTATAATGCAGAAATAACCATATTTAAACTTGATTGTGGCTCAGCTGCATTAAATGTTTTCTTTTTGTCTAGTGTTTTGGTGGTGGTGGGAGGGAATGTTATGACCATTTTTAAGGTCCCATGTTTTTCTTTCAGTAGTCTTATCTACACTAGATAGGATGCTTAAAAATAGATGTCAATCTATACTAGCATTCTCATAGGTGAAGATGCAGTAGTGGGAAATGTAAGAAAAAGTTTAGTGTAGACACAATTTCTATTAAGTTTAAAATGTAGTTATAAATTTACTTTTTATAGCCTGTGTGGATGTAAGATATGCTGTAATACACTTTTAGCCATAACCATGTTTAAACATGTTTTTGTGTATGTAGACAAGGTCTGAATCTTATTTTCTTTCAACATCCTAATTTTCTTGGTTTTATGTGAACATTCTTTATAACACACAACTCTTTGTACAGTTGGGCTTGAATGGTATATGGTATCTTGTAGACTTGCCTGCTAAAGCTGTTCCATAATTTGTATATTTCCACTGCGTATCCACAGACTCATATGCTTTAGGGCTTGGTTCTGCTTCCATTCAAGATGATGGAAAAACTCCTATTAACTTTAATGATGCACGATCAAGGTTTTAGTGAGAATCATCTTAACAACTTTAGTCTCTTCTCCTGACAAAATGCTTACTAAGAATCATTCTAATTGCTCTGTCTTCACCTTAAAAGAAAAGGTGATCCAAATCCATTATTTCAAAAAAGCAATAACTGGTGCTGAATTGCATTATGAAATTTTTTTTTATTCATTCTTGATCTGTTTCTACCGCTCATTATTACTTGCAAAATCTTCAGTATTATGATCAGGCACTGATATTTTATCTTTGATATTTAAATCATAAAAATCATTGTTATAAACACAGCTGAAAAGTGAGTTTCTCTGGTGGGGAGGGATTTGCAGATTCCTGCAGAAAAATCTTCACTGCAGTTTATGGACCTGCAGAAATACTGTTAATTTTTCAGCTTAGTTCAGTGAGAGAAGCCCCTAATTTTGTCCCTGGATACACTTCAGATAAACTCCCAGCTTCAGAAATTGGTCTTAGCCACTTTGTGCTAAATATGAATCCTTCCTGAACTGTCAGACCTTGCTTAGATCTCAAACAAGGCTGCATTGTCCCTACCTATCTTTTGTATGTGCTGTCTGTTAAGTGCCATATGTTTTTCCTCTGAGTGGTATTCGATGGAGACATTCTTTTGGTCAGCCCCTTTTGCATGTTCCTCCAGCTGCCCAGTGGCATTCCTGCAATGGCAGGTAAATAACTTGATAAAATTCTCTCCACTTCATTAAAATATGTTTAATCTATCCCCCCACTTCCCAACTCATCACCTTAAGATGAGGTGTATTTGTGTACACATATTCTTTACCCACTTCCTAAGAGAATTCTGTATATGCTTTGTCTGTAGGATTTAGAAATCAACTCAGAGAAACTTTTACAGTTAGGCCCCCCACAGTGCCATCAACAGGCTACTGTGCCTTGCTGCAGACACTTTCAAAACAAATATACACTATGCATTCTTCTATGGCTTAGTTCAGAAAGTGCTAGGTTTTTAGCCTTGCAGTTTGTTCTGGACCATTTAAACACGCACCTACTAAGAGAAGGACCAGTTTCATTTACTTATGAAGAAAAGTGGAGGTCTTTATTTTAAGCTTTCCTAATTTTGACCTCATATGTCCTCTAATAAAGATAATTCTACTCTGTAACACTATAGAATATATAGATGGTCATGTTTCTTGCACATGTTTTTTTTTTCCGGGGGCATGTGGAACAAAAGGTATTTTTGGAGGATACAACAAACTAACATTGCAGAATTTAGGGGTGTTTGGTACAGCATCTTATCCCATTGTGCCATGAAGTACATAGGGGGACCCGTCATGTATCCAGCCTTGATCCACACATGCAATACACACTGACATCAATGGGAAATTTTCTGGAGATCTAGGGCAGTATGAGTTCCAAAGAGTTTCAGGAGCTGAATAAATTACAGGTGTTCATGCTACTTAAATACTGAAAAGATAAAATGAAAACCCTTTGGTTTGTTTAGTCATTAAGTTAATGTATTCAGTTTAAAATGTAACATTTTTTTTTGTTTTTCTTTGTGGCTTGTTTTAGATATCGACTTCAAACCGTGAAATCATTGGCTGGGGTGAGCCTTATGTTGCGGTTACTCTGGGCATGTTTAAGGTGGGATGATATGGCTGCAAAACCCCCACCTGGGGGAGGAACTACACGCACAGGTAGTATTTCTTATAAGCTTTTGCCTTTTTTTAAATGAATAGTTTGTATTAATTTAGGATGTTGGTACTGAGAGTCTATCTATAAAAGTGCAATATGCTACACAAATTTCAGTTGGTTAAAATCATATAAAATTAACATTATACAGTTTATACCTATTGCTATTTTACTTATTTTGAGTATTTTGGAGAAATGGATGAATCAGTTCAATCTAAATGCCTTACTTTTCAGTGTATGTTTTTGAAAAAATGTAACCAAAAACAAAGTATGTAAGGGTTGCTTCCAAACAGTTACTTCAGAATGAGCATCTGAGGTTAAGAAAAATTTTGCCCACCTTGGGTGAAATCCTGGTTCAACTGAAGGCAGTAATGCCAGGTTTTTACACCTTCTTGCCGGTGATTGTGTTACTTTACAGAAGGGTGGGGTTTAAATTTTCCTCTGACAATCAAAATTGGCCAGTGTGTGAGGTAGACAATATATTCTGATATTACACCTCCTGTGTTTCTAGGAATGGACTGTCTCTTAAAATGTATTTCTCTGGTTTTTGTTTACTCCAAGCCAGTCGGCACACACACAATCACTTATTTCTGCCATTTTTAATTGCAGTATTCTTTGATTTCCTCACTATAGCCCATATTTTCAAATCAGCCTGCATGCTTTTGTGCATGCCTTATTTCCATGTGTACAAGTCAGAAGATGTGTGTACACATGCCTTCATGCATGTACAAGCAAAAGCCCCGTTTTTGAAATCTGAGCCTGTTCATGCAGAAACTTGAAATAGCTTTTTTGGTTGCCTGTGAAACTCAATGGATTATTGAAAGTTATTTCTCCACAATTGTCTTTATTTCTCATGAACAACTTGTTTACTTTTTATTTTCTAACATAATACATCATATTGGGATTAAATCACTGTAGAAACATCTGAAACTGAAATTACAACAACTGAAATAATCAAACGGAGAGATGTTGGTCCTTATGGAATTCGTTCAGAGTACTGTATAAGAAAAATCATTTGCCCTATTGGTGTACCAGAGGCTCCAAAAGGTATGCTTGTTTATAAGTTCTTCAAACTTCATCATAAATTTTATAGAAATAAGTTTAACCAAATTTTCATGGTAACCCTGACCGTCTAAGGAGAGGGCAGTGTTGCACAAATTGAAATAAGTATCCATTCTCCATTCAATTGTGTTAAACAAATCAATCTAGTCATTCTGTTAGATTTATTATCTTAAAGCCAAAGGCCTTCCTGTTACAAAATGAGATTAGCAAAAATGAATGGGGTAATATACAGTAAATCTTCTTTATAAGCAGGATATCCTGTCCTTAATATGTTAGAAGAAAATTATCAACTAAAAAAAGTTAACCCAACTCCATATCTAATCTACCATATGATATTGTAGATACAAGTAGGCTACAACTGAAAAACACCAAATTTGTGTATGTGTATGTATGTAATATTTACTTTCTCTGGATTTTTAGTAGCCATGCTTTCATACAAAACAAGCTAAAATGAACCTACCCCTACAGATCTTTAAAACTGTAGACATGACTATATTTTTCTCCTGATTTCATTAAAATCTAACAGCCCTCCTAAATACAGTTTTAGCTTCAAGCTTCCTGTAAATCAAAAATAGCTTGTGGATCTATTATGCTTATTATAGATTCTTGGAGTATAATGATACTCAGATTACTTCTTTAACAATTAGGTTGGAATTTTCCAAAGTCTTCAGCTTTGGCCTAACAATGCTGCTATTGAATTCAGTTTGTCTGAAAATTTTACTCTGAATAACCCCCATTTTCAAACTGCAGAATTTGTGTAAAAATTGACACTAAATAACTTTAAATTTGGATCTTTTATTTTAATGAATGTTTGACTTTTCTCTAAAGAAACTCCTACACCTCAGAGGAAAGGCCTTCGATCAAGTGCATTGAGGCCAAAGAGGCCAGAAACACCCAAGCAGACAGGCCCTGTTATCATTGAAAGTTGGGTAGCAGAGGAGGAATTGGAATTATGGGAGATCAGGGCATTTGCTGAAAGGTAATTTCACAATTTAAATGAAGCATTTTAGTTTGTGTGTACATTGTTAAAAAAATGCTCCAACCAGATTGCCCAAATTATGGGTGATACCCATAATGAATAAAAAATTAAGCTTTTAATGTTGTCTTTGCTTTCTTTTTTAAAAATGGACAAACTTAGTTGAAGGAGCAAGTTACTAGTGATGCCAGAAACTAATTTAATTGTGGCAGATCTATAAACCTACACACTAATTTTGTGTTAATCTAGTATGTAGTAACTAAGCAAACTACTATTTGGCTGCTTTATGAAGTAAACAGAGTTGTGTGCCAACAGATTATTTCTATGCAGCATGAGTTCTTCTGACATGCACATTACTTACTAAAACTATAAAGGTTTTAAATCATTCTGCAGTATGAATGAAGCAAATGTGTCCCTTAAAACAAAGGGTAAAGTCAGTCTTTAAGTCCCAGAGTGTACACACAAGAAAGGAATATTCACAGTGCTTCACATTTAGAGGAAAAGTTATAGTTAGACCTTTATCTTGCTTTCCTAACAAAATGCTATTGTTTTGAACTGTTGGTGTTATGCATAAGGTGGTGTTTTCAGTCTCTCAAAAATAGTTATAGACCATAGTCTTGATAAATACCTTTTTTGAAAGGCATTGCATTTATTTGCTTTAGAATATTTCAGGGAGTAGTCTAAGAAGCAGGACTAATTCTCAGAACATCAGTTAACCTGGATAAAATTAAATAGCTTTTTTCGTGTACAGTAGTAATTTTCTCTTTGGTTGCTTGTCTTTGGCAGGGTGGAGAAAGAAAAGGCACAGGCAGTTGAGCAGCAGGCTAAGGTTAGTGAACAGAAGAAGGCTGAGGAATTCAAGGCCCAAATGGAGGTTCAGCTAAAACAGCAACGATTGGCTGCCCAGCAGGTGGGGAAGCCATTAGTAGTCCCACCTGTCAAAAAGTTTGCATTGTTAGTCTGCGTACATCCAAACACAGGAAATAAAGTATGCCTCTGTAATGCTATTTTTCAAGTATAATTGTAATTTTTCCAGTATATATACAAACTCAACATTCTGGAAAGATCCCACTGAGATATTAAATATTGTCACTTATTGTACATAATACATTCATTATTTTGAAGTACTGGGCTCTAAGAAGGATTTTTTTATAATTGCCTTTCAGTTTTGTAGACCCAGTTTAGATTGTGTCCAAAAAAGTTTTTCTTCTCCTTTTAAAAGGAGGATGTGAAATAGCAGCCTCCAGGTGAGATGGAAAGCAGCTTCAACAGACAGTAGACTGTGAAATTGGCCAGATTAGTTTCCATGCTAGAATTAAAACAAAACTTCTGATTTTGTCCTACCCTGAGTTTGTCTGGATACAAGCACGGAAGGGGAGGGTTGTGTTTTAACCTGCTAATTAATAATACCCAATACCTGATTGCAGGTTGATTTTATTTTATTTTATTTTATTTTATATTTTATTTTATTTTTTTGCACCCTGAATGTTACAATGAAGAATTGTACAATTTTTCCAGAATGGTTTCATTTTTCCTTTTGTTTTGTCTTCTCTACAGACAATACATTTCTCCCTGTTAGGGATTGATACTACAAATAGTATTTTAGAATTATCTAAACATAAAATAAAATGCAAACCATTAGTTGACTTACAAACCTCCATTACTTTATTTTCTAATGTTTCTGCTATTTTATATCTTAAATCATTGGTATTATTTATTCACTTGTAAATAGTGAAAAAGAAATAATGTTGGTGCCTAAGCAGTTCTACCCACTTTTCCCAGTCTTGCAGTCAAGATTCAAATGGATAAGGAGCACTGCTCAGCGTGAAATATATTGGAAAACATACAAATTACAATTGGCATTATTGAATTGCTTGCAGATAGCCATCTCTCTAAAATAAAAAAGCACCATTGCTTATGACAGTAACAGCATGGGAAGCCTACTGTATGTAAGGGATTGTTGAATATGGTTTTGAGTGGGCTGGAGATTGGCTTACAGTCAGGTGAAAAACTTTAAATAATGATATTCTTTTGATGATGGTAAATTAGATAAAGTAGAAATGGAGATTGTCACTTTAGCAAGATAAAGCTGCAGCCAGCAGTAAATTCAGGAAAGCCAACCGTAATTAAAAATTGAGCTATGTGTAATACAGGTTTGCTTCTGTCATTGAAATTGATGAAAGCCACGGACACATACTGAAACCCAAAATATGGGCATATATTTTCGGACTGTAGTTTATCATGCTAAAAAACCTTCTACCTTTTGATCTTTCATATTGCTTGCTAGTCTGAGAATAGTGAATAAATGTACTGGATTGACTATGTACAGCATTCAAAAGATGCTATATATGTAATAATTTTGTGGTATGTAGCACAGTGGAATGTATACATCTGCAATACAGCAAGTATTTTATGGCAAATTATAATATTGCATGTATATGTCAATTGTGATAGCAATCTGTAATATATTCTGCTTCAATAATTTAGTATTTAGATTTGCTAGATCCTGTTCACATACCTTGTTTTTCAGTGGGAAAAATTAGGTATTCATCCCTTGCAAAATCCACAAATTTTAACTGTTCATTCGTTCATTGAGTTTTTCTTCTAACTTCTATAGAAGCGACTGGAACAACAGAAGCAGTTACCTACAACAGCCACTACAGTCACTACAGCAAGCAGTACTGCAACCACTGCCTCAACTCCACAGAAGGTTGTGGTAGGCCCATTAACAGGCCCAGTTCCTACTGGAACCAAAGTAGTGCTTACTACTAAAGTGGGCTCTCCAGCTACGGTAACATTCCAGCAGAACAAGAACTTCCATCAGACTTTCGCTACCTGGGTTAAACAAGGCCAGTCCTCGGCAGGTAAATGATCTGTGTGTCACTAAAAGAACCTGTTGTTAGTCCCTGCTTCTGTAGCACATCACCTTTTTCTCTATAATATAGCAATATTGGGATTTAATTTCTGATCTTTGTGGTTAACTTTGTTACCAGTTTGGGAGGGGACTGGGGAACAATTCTTTTTGTCTAAAGATGAATGTCCCATCCTTAGGCCAGTATTTTTCCTGCATTCTCAAGCCAGATTGTTTCATTTCTGATCTGTCAGTTTTATCTGTATGGTGAAAGTGTTCTGTGCATAAATTCACTGTTTCAACAAACCTTTAAAAGATATGAGGGGAAAATGATATGACACATTGAAAAGTGGTTGTATAATAACCTTCCAGTTTTACTCTCTACTACTTAAGAAAGAGTCATATTTACTAATAATAACTAAGTTCAAAAATTGACTTTCTTATTTCAATAGCTACCAGCACAGCTGCTACATCAGCTACAACCATTGCCAGCACAGGTCAGACGTTCCAGATTGCAGGCACTCCAGTAACTATGGCAGGCAAAGTGATAACAAAGTTGCCTCTTCCAGCAAACAGCAAGATTGTTGCCGTCAATGTGCCATCAACCCAAGGAGGTAGGGGGAAAAAATATATCTTCTAACTTTCCAATTCAGATTGCATTGACATTATTTTCCCAGTGAAATAAAATGTGACTTGTCTCTTTAAGGAAAAAACACCAAAACTGGAATAAGTCTCTCTAGCTTTTTCTTTGCTACCCCCCAAACAATGGCAGTTGTTTTCAGGCAAAAAATGTAGGTTTGTATCTTAAATTTCTGCCTGCTCTTACCCGTGACCTTGGGCCTTGTACTCTGAGTCCCATAGTGCATAATCAGAAGCTCTAATTTCTTTTGACAACCTAGAATGCAAAATTCTCTTTTCCGCCTCTAAATTAGACTTCAGCAAAAGGATTTTTTTTAAAGTGTTTCAAAATAGACGTAACTGCTAATTGTTGTAAATAGTTATTCCTTAGAAGCTAGTGTGATTCATTTTACTGGTCAATGAAGTAGTGTTGGATCCTTTTCTTCTTGATTGGAAAAGACAACATGACATTTTGTGAGCTTGTGAATGGCATATCGCTTCTTCACCAAAGAAAAATACTCATTTCTCCATCTCTATTTTATTTATATTCGTATAATATCATTTGTATAATTTGTATATATATGATTGTTGAAACAGTGAATTTATATTTTTATCTATGAAAAAATCATGGAGACTGCTAGCTTTTGACGGTGCTTCTTTTAGGCGGATGAACGGCACTTATCGTACTCACCTGCTCCATGAGTTTGAGGCTCTTTGAGATGTTTAAATAGGTCACTTGGAAGCGGGGAGGCATAGCCCATCCATATTTAAACATGTGTAAATAATAAATACTTGTATATGGCACCACACATGGGCAAGAGCCTCATCGTAACGATCAATAGAAAGGTTCACAACTCTGAAGTATCATTCTTTGCCCAAATCCTTTTAAAATGTCTGTGGATTGGTTTTGTGGAGGAAGTTGTACAAGCAACAGAAGAGGTAATGCTACTTCCCTATAGAACGTGAAGAAGTTTCTGTCAAGAGACTTTGACAGAAGTCCAACAGAAGTGTCATAAAAACGTAGAGTGTGAGTACTGGATGTCAGTGTGGCGTTCCTATGATTTATTACATTTGCAATTTTTTGTATTAACGGATTAATTCTTTTTTATTAGGTGTTGTTCAAGTTCAGCAAAAAGTGTTGGGTATCATTCCATCAACTACAGGTGCAAATCAACAAACATTTACTTCATTCCAGCCAAGGACAGCGACTGTAACTATTAGGCCAAATACCACAGGGACTCTAGGTACAACATGTACTTCACAAGTAAGATGTTTTTCTGAGCTTTATCAATTATATTGGGTAAATACATTGGAAGTCATGGAAGGGTACATGGGCAAACACAGAAACAGGATCCTACATGCATATGCAGATGCCCAGCAAGTCTAATAGACACTTAAGATTTCAAAATAGGATTTTTAATAGGATTATTGAATGATTAAAGTTTTCAAAGGTTGTGCTGTGTTGCTATGTAAGAGATGCAAGTTTTGATTCAGACTAGAAATAAGATTGTACAGTGCCTAGCCTAGTACAGTGGAATTGTGATCCATGGCTAGGGTGCCTAGGCACTATGGCAATACAAATAATATTGTGCAAATTTAACACAAAGGGAAATTAACGATTGGAATAATTTACCTAAGGATGTGGTGAATTCTCCTTCAGTGTAGTCTTTATATCAAGACTGGATATGTCTCTCAAAGATATTCTGTAGCTCAAACAGAAGTTATGAGCATGAGTAGATGCTACTGAGTGAGGTTCTCTGGGCCTATGTTATGCTGAGATCAGACTAGATGATCATAATGATCCCTGTTGCCTTGATATCAATCTGGTTCCTGGATTCAGTCTCCCACTCCCTAGGCTGGTGTTCACATTTGGTCAGGGTGGGAGGATAAAACCACACATAATTTTTTCACTGATCAAGGAGCCACTTCCATGTTGTCCTTCTTGGCTTTTGTCTGGTCTCTACAACATAGGACCTCATAGCACATAGTTTTAATGAGGAATTGATGCTTATCAGAGCTAAGAAACTTGTCAGGAGAGTAAATAAGACAGAGTTATGCTAAAGTCGGCTTTAACAAAATTTTCAAGTGTGCAACATATAAATATATGAGCTACTTGTATCCCTTTATTTCTCATTGTTTGTAAAGAATTCAAGGTTCAGCCGGATAGCCCGTTTTTGAAAAGTTTTGTGTGTTTGTTCTCCTTTTGCTGTTTCTAGATAATGCCAGGAACACCGCTCCGCCCAGGTATGACAGTAATACGGACACCACTTCAGCCATCAACATTAGGAAAGGCCATTATTCGAACACCTGTAGTGGTGCAGCAAGGTATTCTTCCATCCAGTAGGTTCATTTTAATTACAAACTTCCAGTGTGTGAAACCATGGTTTGTTTCTCCATAAACATTTTATGTATCATTCACCCTAACTCAGAAATTACTGTATTCAGTGCAGTGTTTTACAAAAAAAAGTGTTGGGCTCAATCATCAGTTTAATCAAGATTACTGGAGAGTCTACTGAAGAGTAACTCTTTCATTCGGGTGGGTACAAAGAACAGGGTTTCCTAGTTTAATAAAAAACTTGGATAAACAGTTTAATGAATAATTAAAATATAAAATTATTATTCATCAGTTTGTAGAAAGGTTTGAATTAATAGTGTTGTGAGAAAACACTACATGTAATTAGAGGAAAGCTAGGTGTTTAAAACTATCTTGTAAGTAGATTGCAAAATGTTTTACTTCTTGAAATCAGATTCATATTTTTGGTTAGTCAGATAGAGAAGTGACTAATGATAGATATTCTGTGGCAAACAGGAATGCTTGCTTAACTTCTCTCATGAAGTTGGGGTTTAGAAGTTTTGTGGGCTATAATGAAAAATGTTGGAAGTGTATTTTTAGCATAACAAATTTTGCTGTCTTTAACAGGTCAGACTCAACAGGTGGTGACTCAGATAATTAGAGGTCAGCCTGTCTCAACTGCAGTTTCTAATGCTAGCACAACTTCAAGTCCTGGACAAAAGGTAACAACAGCTCCAGGAACACCTCCACAGAATATACAACCACAAACCACAACACCGCAGCCCACTCGTCCCCAGCAAGGGCAAGTGAAACTTACTATGGCCCAACTCACGCAGCTAACTCAAGGACAGGTAAACAATTTTTTTATTGGACTCATTTATGAAAATATGCTCATACTGATATCCTTTGATCTCATCAGTACGGCGTGTGTGTGTGTGTGTGTGTGTCTGTACGTTTTGTACATCGTGTTTCAGTTTTGCTTTTTGGGAAACCTATAACCTACCTACAAATCAAATGGTAATTAAATTAAGAAACTAGAGATTTCTTTTCTCTAAATATCTTTTATCTACTTACCTTGTTGCCTTCAGAATGTGGTGTTGATGCCCATCCACTGTCTTTGGGTGGGTGTTGAAGGACATGATAGCTGTCATTTACACTTGCTTTAGTACTGGGAAAGGACAGAGTTACATCATTTGGAACTGGAAAATAACACTCTTTATTGCTTATGCCTAGACCATGAGAGTCTGGTTAGTACATGTAAATTGAGATTCATGCTGAGTTTGGCTGTAAATTGTAAATCCTTTAGATTGTTAACCCTTCAAGGGGCCCTCTTTTCTGTGTTTATACAGCACCCAATCCCAATTTGGACCTTTGGGAACTATGGTAATATAAATACTTAATAATAATGTTAAGAATGGATAAAAGGTTTAATTGTCAAAATATGCTTATGCCTTAGTGTCATTTTTGACATGTAGAACAACATGCAGGAATTCTTTTCTAGGGCAGACTCAAAAGGCTATTGATTATTGAAGGTGTGGAGAAGGGCAGGTATCAGTTGAAGGCAAGAGCTGCCACTAGTGGGACTGAGGCTACGTCTTCACTACCCGCCTGAATCGGCGGGAAGAAATCGATCTCTCGGGGATCGAATTATCGCGTCTCGTCGGGGCGCGACAATCGATCCCTGAATCGACGCTTGTACTCCACCAGCGCAGGTAGGAGTAAGTGTCGTCGACAGGGGAGCCGCGGCGGTCAATTTGCTGCCGTCCTCACAGCGGGGTAAGTCGGCTCAGATACGTCGAATTCAGCTACGCTATTCGCGCAGCTGAATTTGCGTATCTTAAATCGATTTCTCCCTCCCCCCACCCCCCCAGTGAAGACGTAGCCTGATTCAAAGAGACGTGTATGACACAGGGAATCACCTTGAGGGTTAGAACTATCCTTCTGATCTGTCTGCAAAACTGGGATGTTTCTGCCTGTATTAAAGATCTCCAAAAATATGGTATCCAAAGAGACAATTTAAGCAGTAACATTCTACCAGCATGCTGACAACCTGGATGAACAGTCAACACTTAGAGTTGGGCAATGTCTGATATGCAGTTAGGAAAATGTTTTATTGAATAATGTTGTGAACAGGCAGTTGGGACTCTTGAGGTTGGTCTTTGGGTCAGGAGGTGGTTAATAGGATGCCCAAAATTAAGCATCATAGATACGATATGTACCCTAGTGGTTCAGGTTTTAAATCCCCAGAATTCATAATCCTAGTTCTCCCGGATAGTCCACCTAAAGGTTATATCATTGGGACATCAATACTAACGTGAGTTTTACTTTTTTTTTTTTAGGGTTGGCAGTCAGGGATTGACTGTGGTAATTCAGGGACAGGGTCAAACTACTGGCCAGTTACAGTTGATACCTCAGGGTGTGACTGTAATACCAGGTCCAGGACAACAGCTAATGCAAGCGGCTATGCCGAATGGTACAATTCAAAGATTCCTTTTCACTCCATTATCATCATCTGCTACAACAGCTAGCACAGCTACTACGACAGTTTCCACTTCGACATCAGGTAGGGTTTTCTGTGTTCAAGAGAAAAAGATGATTGGAGTTAGGTTGTTTTAATTTTTTTATATAGTTGGAGTTAGTCTCTTTCATTAAAGTATCTTAGTTAAAAGAACAGTGTGTAGGCATAGAAATCTTCAGCTGAAGCTCTGTAAAAGTATTGTAGTTCTTTTGAAACCAAAGGGGAAATAGTGCTTCCTCAACTTTAGAAAACCTAGGTCCTTGTCTACACTACACAGTATTATTGGCAAAAGGCAGATTTTGCCGACAAAACAGTGGAGGTGTACAATGCATCTGAAGAAGTGAGGTTTTTACCCACGAAAGCTTATGCCCAAATAAATCTGTTAGTCTTTAAGGTGCCACCAGACTCCTTGGTGTTAATGCTACTTTTGTCAGCAAAACTCTCCGGTTTGCCGACAAAATAAAACCACCTTGACAAGGCATAAAGCTTTTTGCAATGAAGTTAAGCAACAAAGTGTCAGTGTAGATGCTGCCATTCGTTATGTTGCCATAACTGGCCTTCCACAATGCCCGCCGTGAGCGCTCTGATCAATATTTTGAACTTGGCTGCCATGCATTCCAGCTACACAGGCATGCGCCCCTCTCCTGTCAAAGCTCCAGGAAGTTCTGACAGCTACACATGCCGCTCTGCTCAGGCATCAAACAGCAAATCATTAACGTCCTGGGCACTAGGAACACAGCGGCAGGCAGGCAGGGGTGTGTGTGCGGCGGGGGGAGGGTGAAACTGCTATGCTATGCAGAGCAAGGGAGGCAGGCGGGGACTGATGTCAGGGGTCTGCCCCTGCCTTGGGACTGGTTGTTTCCAGCCGCTGTCTGAACTTAGAGACAGCATGCCAACACGCTTGCTCTCCCTGAACACACGCACCTTCCCCCTCCCTGTTTTCTCTCACTCTCCCCCCACACACACATACTTCAGTTGAAAAGTGACTGGCAATCGCCCATGGAATGATGGGATTTAGAAACCTGCATCATGTGACACTGTACCTGCCCCACGAGGCATTGCAAACCCTTCCCAAAGGACCCTGCAGCCAGTTGCAAAGTGGGATAGCTACCCACAGTGCACTGCTCTCTGTTGATGCAAGAGCTGCTAGTGTGGATGCACTCTGCCGACTCAAGAGCATAGTGTGGACATTCAACAGCGGTTTAATTAAAGCGGCATAACTTTTGTCGACAAAACTCTGTAGTGTAGACGTGGCCTAATTGTTCAGATTAACAGAGCTTGTAGGCACGTTGCTTGGAATGAGTGGAATCTTCTGTTTTTATCCTTCACAGCTACGGGAGAACAGAAACAAGCCTCACAAACACAGACACAACCAGTGCTGCCACCAATTCAGCCCCACCCTCACAGTCAATTGCAAGCTCAGCCACAGGTGCAGACCCCGAGTATTCAGCCTCAGCCCCCAGCCCAGCCACAAACTACTCAGCCCTCACTTCAGCCTGAAGATCAGACACAGCCTGAATCTCAGTCTCCAACGTCAGCTCAGTCTCCAGTCCGATCTGAAGCACAAACTGTCGTGGCACAACCAACTAAAACTCCAGTTACAGTTCAGTCTCCGCCACAGACCCAGGTTCAAGGCCTGTCTCAAATTCAAATCCAGAATCAACCACAGACTATCATCCATCCACAAGCTCAGTCCCAAGTCCAAGCTCCGCAGCAAGCTCAGGTGCAGACCACAACCCAGCAACAGATACAAATACAACCCCAAGCTTCTCTACAAATACAAACTCAACTGCAGCAGCAGTCGCAACCCCAGATTCAGACTTCCCTTCAGACTCTTCCAGCTGCTCAAAATTTAAATCAAATTGCTGTACAATCGCCATCTCGCCCTCAACTGCAGATCCAGCAGCCTACAACAAAAGTTATTACCGTACCTCAGCTTCAGCAGCAAGTCCAAGTTCTCTCCCAACTTCAGTCTCATGTTGTAGCTCAGATACAGGCCCAGCAGGGTGGTGTGCCCCAGCAGATTAAGCTTCAGTTACCTATTCAGATTCAACAAGCCAGCCCAGTGCAGGCTCACCAGATTCAGAATGTGGTAACAGTTCAGGCAGCTAGTGTTCAAGAGCAGCTGCAAAGGGTTCAGCAGCTCAGGGAGCAACAGCAAAAGAAAAAGCAGCAACAGATAGAAATTAAACGTGAACACACTCTTCAGGCTTCTAATCAAAGTGACATTATCCAAAAACAGGTAAAGTTATCGGAAGTAAATACAACCCATGCTAAACACATGTTTCTGTTAATCATATTGATGCATTAGATAGCCTGTGAATTGAGCCTCTGGGATTTTCATTTCTAAATTAGATTGCAAAATTGTTTTTGCCAATTTAATAGCGCCTCTAAGTTAATTCAGCACATTAAGAGACTACTGTGCTGTACTTGCTATCTGGCACTTTGACTTGATTTATTGTATCGCTGGTTATTGCGAGAAATGTATCTTCAAAGTTAGTCCAGAAAAAGTGAGGACTGGTGATTTGCAACACTTCTACTGTGCTTTCATTGGCTGTTCTAGAAAGGAGACTATAAGAGCTGTATTAAGTATAATGATGTTAATTACCAGGGGATGGACTGTGGGGAGAAAAAATGGGCAGAAAACTCTAAATATAGTGCAGCAATAGGAGTTTGGGGAAGTGCAACTGACTGCAAAAGTGAAACTGACTTCACTTATTTTTTTCTCCAGAAATAATGAAAATTTAAATTGAATCTCTAAATTCCTTAGTCATAATTTAAGATTAAGTATAAAAAATTACCTTCAAAATAGTGTAAGTAACATAAGACTTATTTGTTCAAATGTGACTTAAGTTAGCAAGTGTCTGCATTTCCCCAAGTACTATTATCAGATACTACCTGAAGTTTTCAAATGTTGTTTGGACTTTTATGTTCAAGGTGGTGATGAAACACAATGCTGTAATAGAACACTTGAAACAGAAAAAGACACTGACCCCGGCTGAACGAGAAGAAAATCAGAGGTAGGAACACATGAAAATGTATCAATAGACATGGAGCAAATGTGTTCATTGTTGTCTGTTGTACAAAATAAGGCTTGTCTACATGGAGCTGTAAGGCGCAGTGTGTGAGTGTGATTTCTAACCAGTCTGTGTAGACAGTGCTGGTGCTCATTGAAAGTTCCCTAGTTTGCTTTAACATAGTGCTATTTTAAACATTAGTGTGCTTTAGAAATCATACCCTAGTGGTGTGCATTTCCCCATTGTGTAGTCACGCCTTCTGTCTCAGGCTTGGAAAAGCTTAGTTGTATGAAGTTCTAAAACTGACTTCAAGTAATATACAAATAATGGTGACAATCCATGACTTAAAAGTAACATTCCTAATTATGAGCAGTTTGATTTCCCCTGTAATCAAAATTAAATGTTGACTATCTTCAATTGTTGCCCAGAATATGGACTGTGATATGATGCATGTGGTTAGTGCTAGCCACAGTTTTTTAATAAGGATAGCTCAGTGGTTTGAGCATTGGCCTGCTAAACCCTGGGTTGTGAGTTCAATCCTTGAGGTGGCCACTTAGGGATTCAGGACAAAAATCAGTACTTGGTCCTGCTAGTGAAGGCAGGGGGCTGGACTCAATGACCTTTCAAGGTCCCTTCCAGTTCTATGAGATAGGTATATCTCCATATATTAAAATTCAAGCAGATAAATAACTTTGAGGGAGCTCACAAAAGGAAATGGAAGGATTGCTCCATTGTCACTAAGCCTGTTTCTCATTTCTGTTTGAGCACTGCATGTTATGGTTTCTTAATTTCATTCCCTTTGTTGGCAGGAGCTTGTCCTCTGTTTAACTATTTTACCTCCCAGCCAGCAGACAAAAGTCGTTGGCTTTAGAGATTCTTCCATTGCTATTTTGACAGTTTTGTTATTCACATGATTTATCAAATAATCCTGTGATCAGGAAAAGGAATTCCTGTTTTATAAGGTTTTGATCCCCAAATCAGATACAAGAACAATACTATGCAACTTAGTGTCCACTCAGTGTGAGAAACGAATAGTGAATACACTGTGGCTAGTTCACAAATCAAAAGTTAAAAATTTGTTGGCACAGACTGCTCTCTTAACCATTGCGAATGACCAAATTTGTTACTTTTAAAAAACAAAACATTTTTGTTAATGGTGTTTGACCAGCTCTGTTCGTGGCGCTGTCATCTTTCCTCCTCAATGAGTCTTTTCTTCCCAAAGAGTATAATCTTTATCAGTGAAACCCAGACTGGGACAGTGGAGAAGAACAGAATGGTTGATGTCATATGGCCCTACCAAACAGCCAGTGTACTCCTACATCCCTCAATAAAATACCAGGTGGCTCCTTGATTTTCCATTCCTACTTCTGCAGCAGCCCTATCACGAGTCAAGCAAGTGCTGCTGTTGTGACTAAATCCATGATTTTACCACCAGAATTAATAATACAACTTGTGATTTGTGTAGGCTGTAAAGAGAAAATAACTTTAATTTTGAGATTTATTAGACAACTTGGGACAATGTGCTTCTCTGTATTCCTTCCCTAGAATGATAGTGTGTAATCAGGTGATGAAGTATATTTTGGATAAGATAGATAAAGAAGAAAAACAGGCAGCTAAGAAACGGAAGCGAGAAGAGAGTGTGGAACAGAAGCGTAGTAAACAGAATGCTACCAAGCTCTCAGCTCTGCTTTTCAAACATAAAGAACAGCTTAAAGCGGAAATACTGAAAAAAAGAGCACTTCTGGACAAAGATCTACAAATCGAAGTTCAGGTAGGAGCAGTTCTTCTCAATGAACCAGGTGGGTTTTCTTAAGTTGGGGGAAAATATAGTTATGTTTATCAGCTTGTCCTTTGAGTCCTTAAGGAAGCATGCAGGATGAAATTCTTTTGTTGCATGCCTGTATCCCTGCTGAACCCTCAGTTCACTTTATTTACTGCATCTAGCATTTAATCTATGCAGAGGTCTTTTGTGGTTTCTTAAAACCATTTCTGCCCTATTAAATTTAAAGGTCCACATACTGCAGTCTTGCCTCTCACTGAAAAAGCTAAACCAAGAAAGTCAGAAATCCCCCTACCCTAGTTTTTGCTCCTTCCCCTGCCTTCAAAGGAAATATGACCCATTTGATTCCACCCTGTTGAGAATTTAACACCGGTGGGGATACGCTTCTAGAAGTGGGGGTGGAGCTGCATTAGACATGTTTTTTGTGAAGGACCCCACAAAGCCTTGAGCTGGCCCCATCCGTTATTTCTGTGGCACTTTCTCATTGTAAGGGCATCAGATTTCCAAGAAACAAACAGCAAATTGCAACACAAATGTACCAGAGCACTTAAGGCAAAGGCCTCACAATTTATGGAACCTACTGGACCAACTGCAAGGTAGGAATGCTGAATAAAGATTGTGTGGAAAACTGAAGCGATGTAAAGACATACCAACAGGGAGCTCCTTCACCAATCATGGTTGAGAAGGAGCTGGATGTCCAGAGGATAGCACTCAAACCACTGCTCTTATATCCGAATTCTTTGATGACTGGGAGCTACCCCACTCTCCCATAAAGGAGTGAAAACCAGGAGTGAGAATTCTGGTGGATGGTATCATTGGGGTGAAATATTGTTTCTGTATGCTTCCCACACACAAGATTTTGTATCCTGGCAATTACACCTCTGGATGGGGGAGCTGCCTTCTGTGTCATCTGACATTATAGTTTATTTGCCAGAGGGTCTGCTGTTGAATATCCCTAATCGCCCTTTACATGCCCAAGGAATGACAAATAGAGACTAGAAATGGAACAGGTTTCCCACATGACAATGCAGAGTTACCAGTGTGGGACTTCATTAATCTATTAAAGGTTCTGTGGCTGTTATTTCAATTCTAAATGTCACAGATCCTATAAGAATCATATTAATTTTTATTTCTTATTGTTAAAAGTACAAAGAGCTAGGTGGTCGTTAACAGTAAAGACGGACTCCATCCTTAATTCAGCTTTTTATGCCTGATCACCATTTTTATTAGCAAGCATGTGTCCTCCATGTTCTTGACACATCCCTGAAATTCCTCCTCTTTTTTGCCTTAGGATTAGACATCGGGTCACCTCCCCGATACTTATTATCAGACTTAAAACATCTAATCTTAAAGCAGCCCAGGGGCTGACTTAAATTAATCTTGGAATTTGTACCTGAATGAGTAAATTATTTAAATGACTTGTCTTTTTTACATGGAGCAAGATTTGAGTCTGGATTCTGATCCTATTCTAGAATGTCCTCAACAGGTGTCTTTTTTTTTTGCCTTTTTTTAAACGTGCTTCAGGAAGAGCTAAAGAAAGACTTGACTAAAATTAAGAAAGAAAAAGAAAAAGCACAGGCAGCGGCTGCTGCCGCTGCTGCTGCCGCTGCCGCAGCCGCTGCTGCGGCAGCAGCAACACCACCTCCACCTCCACCTCCTCCTCCACCACCACCACCATCACAGCATGCCACCAGCGTCACATCTGCCACCACAGTCCCAGCGCCAGTATCTTCCCAGAAGAGAAAACGAGAGGAGGAGAAAGATTCTTCAGCTTCCAAGTCCAAGAAAAAGAAAATGATTTCTACTACCTCAAAGGAAACCAAGAAGGACACAAAGCTTTATTGCATCTGTAAAACACCTTATGATGAATCAAAGTGAGTGGTGAATGCAGCATGCTTGTCCTGTGCATTGTTTGGTTCAGCTTTAGCATTTAGCTATTAGTCTGAGATAGTGATTAGAAATGGGGGTAGAAAATCAGGCGGTATTGCAAGGAGCATGGACTATGAAAGAATAAGCAGTGTCTGGATTATACTAGCAATTACAAATCTAGTACTTCTTGTGAGTTAATTTTTTTACCTGTTTGCATGTTTCCATTGTATGATCTTTCTGTCTCACATGCACATACTCTTTATTTCGCTCTGTTCTTTGTTTTGCCTTTTTGCCTCTGCTTTGGGAGCAAATGATTATATACTTGTGTTCCTTCTTGTGAACAGATGGTTGGTGTTCTCTAGTGATAGGTTTGGTACCGTCTCCCCATAAATAAGATTTTTCTGTAATTCAATAGTTAAGAAGAGATTCTAACCTATTAGGCTGCAGTTCATTTTGGAAAATGTTTCAAGTGGTTTCCAATATTCCAGTATATTCTTTTTTCATTTCTTAATATATTACCTACCCACCCCACGCTGGACTCTTATTGAGTTGCATTAAGAAATGCAAACCAAGCAAAAAAAAAAAACCCTACTTTTCTACCAGACTCTAGTATGTTTGGAAGTTTTAAGCATTTGACAAAATGAAAATGGCAGTTCCTAATAAATGGTTTAGAAACTAACTCTGAAGAGAAAAAGAAGATTGTTTCCCGCTGAAAGGGAAATTGTTTTATAGAAGGAATTGTTTATGGAAAAATTAATAAATGGTGGACTGGATCACCTCTAGTTTGATGGCTCTAATTCCGCTCAAGTCAGTAATGATCAAAAGTTGTTACCGTATGATAGCTATGCGGTGGCATCTGAGAAATCAGTTGGTGTTAGTGTTCTAGGTCATCCACTTGATAAAAATCACTCACTCCAAAAGCACTAATTAGAATCTTTTGTTTGGGGTTTCAGTAGAAATGCCAAGAATTGAAATGAGCCATGGAGACTGAACTAGCCTGTCCCCCCAATAGTGGTTCTTTCAAGTCACAGCTGAAGGGGGTTAATTTCTGTCTCTTGGGTATTTATATAACTCCAGTCTACCATCCTGTCAGTGTTGGGAAGCTTAGACTGCTCCCGGTGCTGCACTCATTCTGTGAATGGCAGCCTGGAATGGAAGTACTCTAATCTGCCGCTACTTGTAAGTGCTAAATACCACTTTAAATAGGGATTGGTGGGGTGGGGAAGAGTAAGTGCTATATTAGGATTTTTGTCACTCAGTAAAACTTAGTAGGATGCCCTGTTCTCATTTTGTTATAACATATTGAGCAAAGGCCAGTCATACTGGTTCAGTCTCTTATAAGCAGTGGAAGCTTTATCACAAAAATAAAGTAAATTAAATACATGGATTTGATCTGATGCCTGTTCAAGTCAATAATCTTTCCATTGATTTCAGTGGGCATTGGATTGGCCCATAGATAATGCATGATGACAGCACATTCTAGCATACTGAACAGATACGACCTTTATTGAAGCAGGAAATAAGATTTCCCAAAAAACGGAATGTTAATGCCTTAGCAGTGTGATCCAGTTCAACTTCTCTGCTCATAAATTCTGAATCTCACCGTTTAATATACAGTAGCTATGCTGTTGAGCTTAATTATTTCACCACTTGATTGTGAAGAAGTTGGTTACTTTTGAAAACATTGTTTTCTTATGTAATTTAGTGTTTTTTAATAAATGTATATGGTTATCAGATATGTTCTTTTTGTGCTGGTGCCTCATTTGCAGTTCATGCAGGATAGAAGTGTAGCTTTCAGTTTTGTAGCCTGAACTGCTCCTAAGAAGCAACCTGTAATATGAGATGAGGTACCCTATACATTTGTTAAAATGCACTAAATTCACGAAGATCATTCTTTGCTTGAGTCATTTATATTCTTTTACTGTAGGTCTTTCATGTTTATTTTTTCATTAATGACATTGAAGCATGTTAGGGATTCACTCATATACTGTTATGGGTTAGTCAGGGTATCTGTCTATGGGCTGGTCTACACTGGGGGGGGTGGGATCAATCCAAGATGCACAACTTCAGAAAGTCGAAGTATCTTGGATCGAATTACCTGGGGTCCAGACGGCGCGGGATTGATGGCCGCAGCTCCCCCGTCGACTGCGCTACCGCCGCTCGCTCTGGTGGAGTTCCGGAGTCGACGGTGAGCGCGTTCGGGGATCGATATATCACGTCTTAACAAGACGCGATATATCGATCCCGGATAAATCGATTGCTACCTGCCGATACGGCGGGTAGTGAAGACGTACCCTAAGATTTAACCGATAAGTGGGAAATATAAAAATAAAACAACTTGTGAGGCAAAGGATCCAAGTTCTGGACCTGAATTTGCTTCCAGGCCAGCAGGAGCTGGCAGCGCTCTGGAGATGATGCTATCTGCCCTTATAGTGTTGGGGCAAAGAAGCAGAAGAAATATCTTGTGCTAGATTGAATTGATGTTGACTCACTGTAGAGAGAACTACATCTAGCCCTTCTTTGCAGAAAGATGATTTCATTAGATTGTTGAGACTTGACTGATAGGAAATAAGAAGCAATGGAAAAAATAGGTTGAATGTGGCAGATATTGGGCCGCTAAGAGAATTTTGGAGGCACCATCGGAGGGGAAGCATTCCTCAAATTAGCAAAAATGGTCTAAGTGAGGTGTGATTTGATGTGAAGTCTGGGTGCACATTCCAAGACTTTTAGTGCAAAAGTTTAGTAGAAATTAGAGATGTTTGTTTGGTGTGACATATATTGCTAGCTACCCTAGTATAGCCAGTTCCTCTTTGTCATGCCTGCCCAGGGTTGGTTCTGTAGGTTAGCAGAAACTGGCATCATAACAGGTGATAAATGGTAAGATTTTCACTAAATTTGGGGGGGATTAGTCTTGTTTTGAGCAGGGGGTTGGACTAGATGACCTCCTGAGGTCCCTTCCAACCCTGATATTCTGTGATTAAACTCTAGGAAGCCTGAAAATCTGGAGTCAGCTAGCTTTTGCTCAGTCAGAGAGAGAGAGGGAGCCTGGGTGCCTAACTTCTTGTCCCCATGGTTGATTCTCCTAGTCATAGGTATGTTTGGGGCATCCATATCCAAAATACTGTCAAACATCCTTGAATAATAATTTACAAGTTTATCACACCATTCTGTGCAAGGTCCATCATTCACATGATTCTGTATGGAATTAAATTGTTTTTGAACCTTACCCAATTCTCCTTCACTTTGTATCATACCATATCTGGTTCTGTCCCATAGTGTTGTTTGAGAATAGACATATATTCTCCAAAGAATGGTCTGTGTTCCAGTTTGTTGTAATTCTGCTTAGTTGAATTGCTCTATTTTCAGGATCCCGCATAGAAATTTTAAAATTACAACACACATTCTTACACAGTTTTCCTTCCCATCATGTTATACCAATATGTTTTCTACACATGGCTGGTATGCATGTTCCTTTGTAGTGTACTTGTAACTTCTAGTTGGTGTTTGTGCTTTGCTTTGTTTTTAAAATTAACTGAGACCTACATTTTCAAATCTCAAGAAGTTGCCTTGATACTTACCTGGCTTCTGAACCATAGTTTTGAAAATGTAAATCTTTTTCTTTGGCCATGTCTTTTTGTGCCTTTTACAGTTTTTCACATATGCATTCATGTTGGAGATACACATTTTCAGTCCAGTTTTTTCAAAATCTTGTAGATATTGGTTGACCCACATTTACTAAACTGTCTATATCAAGATTGACCCAAGTGACCTTATTTACAGTGCAGCTGCAGTGTCAGATGTAGGCTTTGCAAGGATAGAATGGTAGAGGACAGGGAGACTGAGTCAGAAAATTGCAGAAAGCAGGCTAGCAAGAAAGTGCATCAGAACCAGAAATGCAAGGAAAAGTGCCATGCCATTTGAAATGACAATTACATTGTCATTTTCATTGTGAACACTTTTAGGTTCTATATTGGCTGTGATCTTTGTACTAACTGGTATCATGGAGAATGTGTTGGCATCACAGAAAAGGAGGCTAAGAAAATGGATGTGTACATCTGTAATGATTGTAAACGGGCACAAGAGGGCAGCAGTGAGGAATTGTACTGTATCTGCAGAACACCTTATGATGAGTCACAGTGAGTTCTGATAAGAACCTCTTATTTAATATTTAGGTAGCAAACTGCTCTGACTTTGGTTACTTGTTCCTTAAAAAGAAAAACAAATATTCTGCATATATTGTATCCCCTGGTATTACAATTTCTTTTTCAATATTTCTCTCTCTCTCCCCCCCAAATGTTGTTTTCAAGTGAATATTTAGGAAAAGTAAAGTTCTTAAGGTGGCCTCAATGTTTTAAATAAGACCAAGAATTTTAAATTGCGATTAATTTTAACAAGGAAGAGCTAGAAAGATTAAAAAATTGAATATTAGTTGGGACTTTTTGTGCTTGAAATTAGTCTCTTCGATTTAGATTAGAAAAATTTCTTGGAGTATGGGGTATTTGGGTGGTATCTTTGTTTATAAGGCTTTTTGTCACCAGAATACCCCTTCTATATTCAACCACAAGACTCTGGCTTCCATATGAAAAATGTTTGAACAGGGTGAAATTGGAGCCCTAGAATGTAGTCCTATTTTACATGTGTAAAATGGTCCTTGAATCACTGGTCGAGTGAGACTTCTGGCATTACACTGTTACTTTCAGCTTTAAAACTGATAAAGAACTTCTGAAACCGTGTTTCCTTGAAATTAATTATTTAATTTTAGGCACTACTGATAATTATGAAGTAAAATTGTCAGGTAATTTAATTATTGTTTGTAAATATTAAATTAGCGTGCATGGTTTAATTAGCATATGTAACACTAAAATGTCACATGTTTAAATATAAAATTGTTTTATATCATGCAGAACAACTACTGAGGTGCAAATTATTAAAACTGAGTTTTTAAAAAAATCTTTTGCTTTGAATGTAAAGGATAATGTTACTGATATTTTTCTTTCAAATCTTGCAGATTTTACATTGGCTGTGACCGATGTCAGAACTGGTATCACGGGCGCTGTGTTGGTATTTTGCAAAGTGAGGCAGATCTCATTGATGAGTATGTCTGTCCACAGTGTCAGTCGACAGAAGATGCCATGACAGTACTCAGTCCACTGACTGATAAAGATTATGAGGGATTACGAAGAGTACTACGTTCCTTACAGGTGAGGATAAACCATACTCAGAGTGGAAAATACAGGTATAGAGGTTCATCCAATATGTCTTTCTTGGGAGTAACCTTGGATCTTCGCTTGTCTGATTGTTAGACTTCGTGATTTTGTTGAGATGTAATAAGCTTCCTTTTCTGTGAGGGATGACAATGTGTTGGCCACAGCCTTCTCAAGCAGCATTGTGACATTGAGTAACATTGATGGTAGCCTGGAAGAAAATCACTGCCTCCAGGTTCTGGGGTATTTTGTTTTTTTAATGAATGAGGATAGCTCTGTTGAACATGACGGAAGCAGATATCATCAGAATATAAAGGGCAGAGCAGTTGCATTTTGGGTAGGAAATGGAAGTTTTCAACATAAAATAAGTTGTGTTCTCTGGCTGGCCTGTATGATTTCCAATCTGAAATTATATACACTTCAGCTAAACTGCAAGGCTGACTTTTTTTAAAGATTAAAAAAATATATTAAAATTTTCTTTAACACAAGATCACCTCCAGAAGATTGATTTCAGCATGCAAATGACTATATGTTGCTAAGAAAAATGAAAAGCCTCTGGCCCAGTAATAACATTTTTGCTAATGTAAATATCATCCCTAATGGTTGAAAAGGGACATTTAAATTGCCATCAGCTAGAAATAATCCCATGTGTTAATAGAAGAGCAGGCTAGTGCAATATGAAATGTACAGCAAAGTATTTCATGGATTTGAGCGGTTTTAATTGACATTTTTTATGACAAGTTAATTTTAGATGTAATGAAAGTGAAAAACAGTAAACGGCCGAACTCTGTGAGGGGTGCAGCCCCTTCAGTCCCCACTGACTTGAAAGGAAGCTTCTTCGGGAATACTGGCTGAAGTTGGCTGTTTGCAGTCTCTCAATTCCAGTATGCCTCTCGTCATGAGGACAAACTGCTCATCATGCCAGATTACACTTTAGGATACGGACAATCCAGATCAGCAAATAACACTTTAGTTGTTCCTGAAATTAGAATCAGATGCAAATCTCTAGCAATATATAATTAATTAAACAGCTATCAAGCCCTTGTTAATTTAAATGTATTTGTAATGTTTTCTTCTGAAACTGATTATGCCTAATTTTCCTGATAGGCCCACAAGATGGCATGGCCCTTCCTAGAACCAGTAGATCCCAATGATGCACCAGATTATTATGGTGTTATCAAAGAGCCTATGGGTAAGTGTATTTCCAATTCATAATATGATTGGCTGAGTACTAATTGTTAGTTAATATAGATTTAAAATTTACATATATCGAATGGCTTCATCCGAGGATCTTTGGGTGCTTTATCAATATATCCTCGTTAGAGAGATGGGTAAAATGAAACCGAGATGGTGACTCGCTTATCAGCACGTAAGTTTGTGACAGAGCTAAAATGGAAACCTATATACTGACTCTCAGTCCTGCTCCTTAACCACAAGTCCATCCTTCCTAACATACAAAATAAAGTCCCAATTGGTTTATCAAACTTACAAATTTATTTTTTTCTGATCTTTCTGTACTTCTGTAGTCACTTTCCAACAGAGTGAGTTGTACCACCATTCCTTATCCTTTCCTCTCTCCCCTCACGCAGCATCTCCCAGTAAGAAAAGTAGAAGTATGTGCTCATGTGATTAAGGAAAAAGATGATTTTAGTAAATTGATGATATAGTTGCATAATGACTTATGTAATACAGGATGGAAAGATATAAAAGCAATCTTCATTTTCTTTGCTATTGTACAAGAAAATTTTGATTAGACTGAAAGCTCGATTGAAAAGGAAGAAAATCCTTTTGGGGCTGTATAATAATCTGCAGCCATACTATGTTGTGCTGTGATCTTACTAAATCTCAAGGACAAAGCAGTGGTGGGCTGCCTCGGGACGTGGATGTAAGATCTCTAAGGAAAACCCAGCTGCTGCAGGAAATTGTTACAAATGTTTGTAATCCTCTTCCGTCAAAGTCAGTATTGTCTTAGCAGTCAGTGAGCTTGCTGCTGGAGTTTCTGACTTCTGGATGTCACACAAAACTTGACCACTTTGTACTTTTCACAAAAATAAGGATGCTAATTCTGGTGTGTGAGGGAAAAATTGGAATTTGGCCACCTAAATTTCCTCAAGTTTCACAGAAAAGAGCTGGCTGTTTGTTTTACAAAACACTAATCTTCTCTTGTGGGTAAAACTGTCTCAGAAACGCCAAGCGATAACATCGTTGAATTTGCAATCTATCAGGTTACACTTAGCACATTGTCACTGTAACTGGGAGGCAGACCACCTGTTATGGATGAGTAAACCACATCAAAAGATGTCCATGTTTGCAAATGTTTTGACACTTGGTGGGATTAAAAAACAAGCACTTAGAAGGAATTTTTTTAAGGCAGGTGAATCCTTTGGTCATTTTCTCAACCAAGTTAAGAGGGACACTTGTTAATTTAAATTTAAAGACCATTTAGTTTATATTTTTCAATGCTTGTCCCTTTGTTTTTAACTAGGGAGTCGCAGCCTTTGTAACTTGCGTAGGCCGAGCTTATTGCACATACCAGGAGCTGCTTGCATTCTTTCATTCCTCCCCCACCCCCAAACTTTCTATGTGTCACTCTCCCATCCCCCTCTGTTTCTAGCATTCCCTGCAACTCTCCCCGAGTTCCCCCATCATGAAGTCTGTGGGCCCCCCATACTAGGGTTTCCATTCTCCCTACCTCACCACTGACTCAGTGTGCATGCCCATTTCCCCTTCCTCCATGGCAGGAATGCTGTGTGCCCCCCCCCAACCCCCCATTCCCCAGATGCCTGTGTGCATGTCCCCATTCCTTGCCACCATTATTATTCTTTCTGTTTGGGAGATAAGTGATTCAGGATGTCAACATATTAAACTCTCTAGGGAAGATGAGCAGTGATGAATTGCAGTATTGTTATGCTGAAAACCATTAATGGGTGCCATCAACCAGTTGTTGGATAGACAGTTGAGGAGCTGGCATTGGCAGGGACGTCATGTGGCCCCCGTTTTCCCCCAAATCAGTACAGTTCTGGCTCTGGATGCCTAGGACATTCCCTGAAATTTCAGAATTGATTGGCTGTGGTGTTCAAGTTATCAGTTTGCCATCTGAAAGCCCTTGAAGTCATTCTGCCCTTTGTGTGGTAATGTGCATCTCAGTGGCAATTAATGGATGTCCCTAAAAGAGTTATGAATTCAAATAAGGAGTAATCAGCAGGAGCAGATGAACTGCAAATCAAGTGTATTTATTATGCATTGATTGATGATAGTATTAAAAAATAAGGAAAACAAACAAATACCAAGAATAGAATCAGAATTCTCTAATGGCAGTGTCCTTTCTTCATCAGGAGTAAATAATAGCTCTGTAATGGAGGTTTCAAAAACTTTAGTTGCTGTAACTAAAATGTGTAAATTACATATAATAAATTCATGTGAGAAGGGAGGAAGCACACATTCTAAATGAGACCCCTCACCTGGCATCATGTCACAAACAACATTGCAGAAATGTAGCCAACCCAGTTGTGCTTTTGTTACAACATTTGATGATGATATAAATAAACTTCTGTCTGGGAGACTAAAGATGTCTCGTTTTAAATAACAGGTATGGGTTGGTTTGTTTGTTTTCTTTTAAGACCTTGCTACCATGGAAGAAAGAATCCTGAAACGTTACTACAAAAAGGTGACAGAGTTTGTGGCAGATATGACCAAAATTTTTGATAACTGTCGTTACTACAATCCAAGTGACTCCCCTTTTTACCAATGTGCAGAGGTTCTTGAATCATTCTTTGTACAGAAGCTAAAAGGATTCAAGGCAAGCAGGTAAGGCAAAGTGTTCCCCATATTGATAATCGTGTGACTGTAACCTGAGTTTGTTTTAGAAAATCTTCCTACTACCCTAAGCTTATCCTACTGCACTCATATAAAGGCCTGCCTCTTTCCCCACGCATGCCATTATAGCTAGATTTGGAAGGGAAGAATCTCGAGTCAATACATTCCAGCTGTTGGCTTTTGTCAAACTTAGGGCCTGAACCTGATCCTACTTAAGTATTTGTATAATTTTTTGTTTAAAATATGAATTACATATCAATATGGGCATTATCATAATTATAAAGAAACTGAACACTAAAATAAAGAAGACCTTTTCAGTTACTGTGAAAACCAAATCAAAGGGACCAGCTTCTGTTTTGAATATAATTATTAGCTACGTATGGTCCACTGGTGCCAGGACCTTTCCTAACACTGAAGAAAGGATGCTCCTCCTACTCCAAAGAGCTCACAACCTAAGGAAAATTCAAATGTATGCAAAAGTAAACAGTTCCTTACTCTTATCTAGAGAACTTCCATCTCTTCTTGTTGTTTTGTATCATTTAGATAACCTGTTCACTCTCATTTTTAAGCGACTATATGTCCAATTGAAATAATAGAAATTTAAAATTGAGACTAATAGTTTAAAATAAAAAACAGAAATTTAGCTTTAAGTTCCTTTTCTGCAGGAAAAGACTGGTACAGAATATTCCATCTGGGAATCTTGTTTGTAAAACTAACATGCACTCTGTTTAACATGAACTATACAGCTTGCCAACTACATTTCAGGCTATAATCCATATGCCCTTATGTATAATACATAGTATCATGTACTTACTTACATAAAACCAGGGGAGCTGAGAGTGGTAGTACTGCTATAATTAAGATTGAGACTAGTTTACTTTTTAACACTAGTATAGTAATAGGACTCTCCATATATCATTGCAGATTTGTATCCCAACAATAAACAACCTATATTTAATTACAAATATTACTTTCATTAAATTCAGCTTGAATCAGAATTCTGATTATGTACAATCAGTTGGTAGATTAGTCAGCTTGACCATTACACTTGAATTCTGGTAGGTTTAGATCAATTCAAGATTCAATCTATTTGCAATTAACTGTTAGAAGCTGCACTTATATCCATCTGTGTGGAAGTTGCTAGTTTTCCAAGTGGGACAAGAGCAGGACTATGGGGAAGTGCACGTGTGGCCAACTGAAGCACTTGTGTGTTTACCCTCTTAATTTAATTCTGTGATATCTGCTTTTATCAGGCCATTACTGGCTCATGCTTCTTTCATTCTGTCATATTTGGTTATCCGACATTCATTGTTTGCACACTAATTTCATTGCTGCATCTTATTTGTTGTGCTTCTTCATTTACACCATCCATGTTCTTTCTTTTCTTGCAGATTGTGATATCTTTAGTCTGACCTTTTTAACTGGAATCAGAACTGGATGTTGGGGTCACTCTTTCTTTTATTGTACAGTCCCATGACATTAAACTGCCTTAAAAAATCCAGATCAATGTCCAAATATTAAGTGTTCGTTTTAAAATGGAAACCATTATTTGCCAGCAGCCATGTTGGTAAACAAAAATGTATTAAGAAACTGTCTGTTCCTTGGAATACTGTATTTAAACAAAGTCAAATAATTCAGTCTTGGAAACTATGTATTTTAATTAATTATTTGCAGTCACTAATAAAACTGTGAACGTTAGAAAGGGGATTCGCTGAACTCTGATTAGCAAAAATGTGGTATTAATTTCTTTTACTATTCAGTTTTTTATGTTTGAACGTTTATCCAAAGACTTCCCAAATCAATGTAACTTAAGTATATTTTGTATATTTTACTAAAAGTACCGTACTAACTTATGAATTGTCTTTATGCCTTCCCTATTATAGAATACTATTATGTATCTTGATTAGTAAAATTTTATTTTGGGCATTTTTGGATATTCCAGTGAAGCATCATGTTTTGTATACAGTGGAATTTTTTAATGCTGTAGCTGAAAACTTCTGTAAAGTTCAGAGATGCTTGTTTTAAATGGTGTTTGTCTCCAAAGATGAACAGACACAACATGGCTGCATTCCCCTCCCGATGATTGACCCTTGGCATCCTCTTAGAGAAACCGTGTTCTCAAAAATGAAGGGTGCTTAATTCACTTTTTTCTGTATTCTGCAGGTCTCATAACAACAAACTGCAGTCTACAGCTTCTTAGAGTTCAGCGTGTTAACCTAACACACACACAGCAAGAATCTGGTTGTCTGAAATTTTTAATTAAGAAGCCAGATGGTTTTTAGTCAGGTTATCCTGACAAGACTTGATGTAAACTGTGTTTTTATTGGTCACAGCAGTCAAATTATATTCTTGGCTTATTTTGTCCAAAGGACAAAGGAATAAAAATCAGCAGCACCACTTTCTTGTCAAGATCAAATTGTTGTACTATTGTGGCAGAAATGAGAAAACTTTGTTTTGTTGGCGAGAGAGAGAGCAAGCAAGCAAGAAAAAAGATACAGTAAATGGGGTCAAGTTTAACTCCATGGAAATGCCACGTCTGTTCTTCAGTGAAGAAGCTGGTTTAAAGTCCACACAGAAAACTTTGACTGTATTTATTTATTGTTGCAAAAAAGGACGCTTTTTTATTGCTGCCCTCATTTGTCAGCTAATTATTTTTTCTTATAAAATCCGGCCCCGGTTACATGTAATCCATTCTGTATCTTAACATGATTCCTGTAGGTAAAAGTACAAGAAGACCTCTAGATGTCTTTTCTTTCTATGAAAGGAGCTGCTATGTACACATGTGCACACAAAAAAACTGGGAATCAACAATGAGTTTATCATTCGTGGTAGAGAAAAAGGATTAAGCTTGCATAAAAGTTGGGCTAAGTGGTCACAGACTACAGACTCTGTTGCCTTGAATATAACAGTACAATTTGTCATTTACTCTGCACCAGACTGAAATGAGTAAAATCTATTTGAAGGTATCTTGTTTGTAAACATTTGTCAGATTCTAATTTTTTTCTTTTTGTATTAAAATTCAAAACATGGATGTATAATGAAACAAAATAAATGGAGATAATTTTTCTCCCCACAGATGTAGCTGTCTTTGAATGTGCGCTAATATGTTTGTAAAGTTTTTGAGGGGTGTGTGTTTGGAATTGGAAGTATCCCAAGTAGTAGGGGAGGAAAAGGTAAGAAAGGTAGAAAGGGAAAGCGTTTCTTTCGTTTCATTAAGCAACTACTATCCCTTTAAAAACCAATTCTACTGTGGTGCCATAATTGCTGCATCAGATAATAAAGGCAGTATTGTGAAATTTCGTTGCCCACTTCTGAATTAGAAAGAAGGCAAAATATCATCCAGGAATGAAGTACCACATGTTTGTAATTCTATCTCTAAAGGGCATTCTCAGTGGTTTTGTCTCTTCCTATACAAGGAAAGCTAGCATGAGGGATAAATGGAAGCCAACAGAGGGAGATGTGACTTGCAGACTTTTTTTTCCTTCTCCTCTCTCTGATCTATCACTTGCACATTGCTTATGTAACTGACTTTGTTATATTAACTGCCTCCAGTAAATCAGCCAAGGCTGGTTTATGCAGCTCTACAACCATTTTGCTAGATTTTGCACTAATTCACAATTAGCTTTGTCCTACAGTGATCTGGGATTTACCTGGTTTATGGATAAGCTTCCCTTGGGTTTAACCTCACCCTGCTATGCAAGAAACTTTCCTGTTAATTTCTTAGAAATAAGACATTGCTACTGACCACAGTTTTCTTACAATTACATGCTCAGGTGTACAGGTTCTTCTGGGTTAATTTTATCTAATAAAACCCATACATTTTTGTACAGATACTGTCACTTAACCTATATGTGAAAACTAAAAATGAATTGTTCAATGTGAAAACAAAATCAGTTTATGCTTCTTAAAAATATTATGAGAAGAGTAGTTGCATTTAGGTTATGTTGTCCTTTGACTTCTTAAAAGAAATGCTACATATTGTATGCATTGTGTTTGATGCAAGAAGGAAAATTCTCAATTTAATGAGTTCTGAAAATATTCTGCATCTCTTCCCAACTTCATAGTATTTCTGTACTATTTATTCATATATAAATATATATGATGTCATTTGAAACTGAATGCGAAAAGAACTTTCTTACCTGTAGCCAATAGATTGCTATGTTTTTAACAGTTGTGGCAAACTGAAGAGTACTTTTTTTGTACGTAATAGGACATTACATCCTAGACAAATAAAGTCATGTGTTTGACATCTGATTTGGTGGCGTTTCTAATGAAACATTGGTTGATTACGTAGCTCTTGGCATTGCCAAATTTTATATAACTTCTTAGGAATTTTTAATACAAATTATTCTCTTGCTAGGGAAATGTTAATCTCATATAGACATTTTCACATTCTTGACATCTTTTCAGTTTTTCTGTTGCCAGCTAACACGTGGAGACATTTTCTAGCTTTATCAGGTATCAAATTTTGTGGACTTGTCTTTTTTTAAAAGTGATATATTAAAAAATAGAAATACCATATCTGCAATACCAGTATCATTCCTGTACATGTATTTCAAAAGTCATACTTAAAACTGGTTCTTAAAAGCATGAGAATTCATATTTGAAACCAGCTATGTTGCTCCAGTGTCCTGTTTCTATATATTATTACCATGTAAATTCCAAAGTGTCTGTTATTGAATTATGTTTTAACTTGGGGTTTTGGTGACACAAACTAAACCAAGTTGAGGTTTGTTTTTCTTTACGCTGTGTCATCAGAGGTCCTCAGATAAACTTGAGCGCATGTAATTAGTCCTTTTGTAGAATTTAGTTCAAACGCTTTTAAATCCTCATAATAGGTTGTAGAAAGATGTGTTCATAACAGATCTGCGTAAATCACTGGAGAGACTGCAGTGTCTTATGTGCTCAGCGTATCAGTTGATTGGCTGCAAAATATTCATGTTTGTCCTGCTGAAAAGAACACCAGGAGTTAATTTTTTACAGGATCTCTTACTTTAGAAGAAAGTTTTGTTAGAAATGTTGAGGGGCAAATACACTCTAAAGGGACACTGTCATCTACTTACTTTTAAAATCTTTTTGCTTTTCGTCGTTTGTAATAAAACATACTAGAAGTTTTGAGAATAAAAATCCCCGCCAGATTTGTCCTTTTTGTTGTCTAAACTTTTATCTGTTTAGCAATGCATGTGGCTATATTTGCTTGCTTCTGTCTGTACATTAGCATCGTTGCTGATGTACTGTTGCACGTTGCTGCTGCTGTCATGTTAAGGCCTGCTTGACTTGTAGCATTGGCCTTTTCACTGGTGTTTGTTGGAATATCGGGTTTTTAGGGACTCTTAGAATGGGGGGGACATTTCCTGAGTTAACAGTTTACAACCTAAGTTTGACAGTGTCCCTTTAATGAAGATAGATGTGTAGCCTGATATGTGCACCTCATTTGCTATCCCAACACCACACAAAATAACCTGAAAGTGAACTGTAAACTGTCTTTTAATGATGAAATCATTAAAATCTGTGTAAAGCAAAATTGACTCAGTACGAAAAGCTAGCTGTACTATAGACTAGTTTTCTATGGAACATGTACTTTCCTGTACATTTAATACATTTTTATGTGCTTAGTAATCTGCCCCATACTGGGTAACTAATTGCGAGACTGCTAATGTAATTGAGTATGAAATGTTTTGATCTTTAAAGAAATTCTCACTTTTTCTTTCCATTCCTTTGCTGCATTAGTCATCTATTGTAATTCAGAAGTTACTTTGCCACCTCATCTCTTGAGCTTGTAAGGCAAGTATGATAAGTAATGGCCCTTTTTCCTTTTTAAATCAGGTACAGCTTTTAAAATAGTGTGATCTTGTTTAGTGAGAGAGTCTGGAAGAGCAATCCAAATTATTTATAAACATCGTCCTGCAGTATGACACGTCTACATATATTTCTAAACACCACCCATTAAAACATACGCTGGGTTTACCAAAAAGTGAAAATAATGAATAGTTAAATGTTTAAGTTATAGACACTGAAACATATTGGACTGTTACCTCTTAACTTATTATGTGACACAATAAATAACCACTTCACCTCTTCCAGAAGGAAGGTAAGATTTTTGTGATGCGAAAGGAAAAATAAAGCACCTTGCTGCTTTTCCCTCTTTCAGTAACGTCCTGATGTCCCAGTCCCTGTGTAGCCCAATGAAAAAATAGATAAACACCAAATAAAGAGTTGAGCCCAAATAAAATGCCATTGTTGTGTAAATCAACTTTACCTAATAAAGGATTTATCTATTTCCTTAGTGGTTTAACTCTCCAGGTGCAATATTTATTCTAGGGTGTGGTTTAAATCTAGGAGTGGTCAAATGATGGTTTGTCCTAAGCTACTGGTCTTGTTCCAGCTGCTATCCATCATCACCATTGATAGCCTATTTGTCTCCTGGGGGGGAGCAAGTATTAAATGAGCCAAGGCAATGGCACTACTCTTCACCCCCCACTCCAGGTGTCTGCTTCAGATCACTGTTCAGTGTCATGGATGAAGGCAGTGGGGGAAGTGCATTGCTGAATCTGGATCAATGGAAAACTGGGCATCATTGAGCAACACTCAAATATCGGTTGAAAATAGAATACCCAAACTTGATACATGGATGTAGCCCTTCCTCCAGTGCACTGAGTTGCTGCCAGGAACAGTCTTATTCTGCCAAAGTAAAAGTCCCTCATTAGAGTTTGCTTGGGAAAATTTCAACTGACATCTCGATTGTAAATGTGCCATTCTCCATGCTCGCTCAACTCTGTTCTCACTTAAATGTAATAAAAGTAGTAAGAAGGCACTGTGACCTTTTTAAATAGATGCAAGCTACTGGTTGTCAGGTAGCAAGCATCTCTGCGGGTACTTCAATCATATGATAAAACTGTTCTGATTCTAAAAGCTAGCTAGTGTGTACAGCCCAGTAAACCAACCCTTCACCTCTCTCCCAGTTGACAATGCAAACAAATGCTGACTTACAGCAAGAATATATAGTGTTTTAGAAGTGACAGCAGTGTTTGCAGTCAGTGCTTTAAGCCTATTGCATGTCAAGAAATAAATCACATGAGAACAATTCTGGGAAGGTACTTTTGCTGTTCTATTCATGTCACCTTGCTTGCCTGCCCCTACCATTTTGGTTTCTGAATAGTCTCCTGGTAAAATCCTTTGGTGTACTCTGCCATAATGCATAGTGACCTAGGTGTACCATTTTGCTGAGAGAGTCCTTGCTTCAGCTGCCTTTAAAAAAAAAAAAAAATTTAACCTCATTATTGTGTAAATCTACGGCAGAGTCAAAAATCAATAGTTCCAGACCTGAATACTACAGAGTTCTACAAAATGAATGTATTCTCCTGGCTGGCTGGCCGGCCAGATTCATACAGAAATCAAGATTGATATTTGCCTCTGTGACTTTCCTCACTCCCCACCATGGCTATGCAGCCTCTCGTTGAAGCTAACACGTTTGCCTATATCTAAGGGCTTGTCTATACTACCTGCAGGATCGTGGGCACCGATCGATCCAGTGGGGGTCAATTTTATTGCATCTAGACTAGACGCGCTAAATCGACGGCTGAGCGCTCTTCCGTCGACTCCGGTACTCCAGTGGAGCGAAAGGCACAGGCAGAGTTGATGGGAGAGCATCAGCTGTCGACCTACTGCAGTGAAGACACCACGGTAAGTAGATCTAAGTACGTCAACTTCAGCTACGTAACTTAGATCGATTCCCCCACTTCCTCCTCCCCCAGTGTAGACCAGGCCTGAGAGGCAAATTTAGTTAATCTTTGTCTAATGGCATGTCTACACTTACTGGGGATCCATGCTGCTGCGATCAATGCAGTGGGGGTCGATTTAGCAGGTCTAGTGAAGACCCACTAAATCAACTGCGGATTGCTCTCCTGTTGACACCAGTATGCCAGTGGAAGGAGAAGAGTAAGGTAAGTTGATGAGAGAGTGTCTCCCGTCAACGCAGCACAGTGAAGACACCGTAAGTTGAGAAGCTTTAATAGCCCACCTGCAAGATACTACTTTTTTAACATTTTGACAACAGCAAGAGATTTTACTGCTATTCTAAAAGGCAGCTATTTTTTTCCACGGTTAGGGGAACTAGTTCCCCACAAGCTGTTTTAAAATAACTTTTTCATTACTAGCTAAGGAAGTTGATGCTTTTTTGAAGGTATTGAATCTTTTTATTGGGTCTCTTCCTCAACTTTTATTTATTTTATTTGTTTTAAGTTTCTGCCCGAAGAGTAGAGCTGATTAAAACAAACGGATGAAAAGGCTAAGAAGCTGGATTTTAGATAATTGGGGAGAGGGCTATTTAGGAATATTTAGTACCAGCATTTCCTACAAGGGGTTAAATGTCAAAAAGATATTTGTTGAAGTCTCACTAAGGCTCTAAAAGTAAAAGATCAGGTCCAACATAGAACTGATTCAAAGGTAGCTTTACTGGTTTGCAGATATAAACCTCATACACTTGTCTTCATAGAAAAATTATACCAAATACACTCAATAGTTTCAGGGTTGAACATCCACTTTAGAAGAGTAATTAGGCATGCAAAATGTGTATGCAATTGCATGACTGAGTTGCATGCCTCAATACCATAATTTGTACATGCAAATAGGTAACTGTACACAAACTAATTGGCTATTTGTGCATGATTTGTATTCAATTAATGAAATAAGGCATAAATTTTTAAAAGGGTAATTAAACATTGGAACAATTTACCAAGGGTCATGGTGGAGTCTCCATCACTGACAAGTTTAAAATCAAGAATGGATGTTTTAGAAAAAGCTTTAGGAATTATTTTGGGGAAGTTGTATGTCCTGTGTTATGCAGGTCAACTTAAATGATCACAATTGTGCCATCTAGCCTTGGAATCTATAAATGGATCAATCTCCGAGCATATGTGTAGGCTCCAATAAGGTGTGCCTTGGCATATGTATGTTGAACATATTTCTAAATGACCAGAAAAATCTGGTCCCTTATATTTGAGAAAAATGGTATAATTATACATTGTTTAAAAAAACAGTATTATGTACTTTGAGGAAACCAAAGTGCTGCAAAAATTTTATTTGTCAGAATTCTTAATTTGATAGTGTTTCAAAACAAATGTCTACATATTTATGCTGTGCAGCCGTTGAGCTACAAATGATCATGCAACACGTTACAGAGTTAGGGTTTGAATGCTCGTTTTTATAATCTCATTGCACTGAGAACTTTAATACTATGAAATACACAGTTCTGAATATTAATCTAAGCAGTAAGAGACAGCTGTTCTCAGTTAAAGTGGTGTAAAGCCAGAGTGACTCCAGTTACTCCTGATATATATATGAGGTGCTGACAAAAGAATTTAGCTCTAAAAATAATCATAATGGGTTATTTTCCAAATATTAGGATTTAAATTATGTATTACAAAAAGGATAACCTATATTCAAAGGGAAATCCACTAACCAGTTAATGTTCTCTACAGTGAGTGAATAGGTTTGATTCCTAGGCTGTGGGTGGTTGTTTGTTTGTTTTTCTTCTTTTTGCACACTATATTGGTATCTGTATATAACCAGAACCTTTGAAGGAAACATTGTTTTGTAAACCCTATAAGACACCAGGTGTTCATCAGTACTGGAGACAGAATTAAGCAAGAGCTGAGCTGTAGTCACTCTAAGAGGATCCTTACTATGGCAGGAAGGTCAGACTCAATTCAAGGAGAGACCAGTTTTGTTCTGCTAGCTGACTGCCAGCGCTGCTTATGCCGTAGTAAAGCAGTTAGGACCGTAGCCTCATCCACACTTGGTGTGAGCTACCCCTTGAACTTTACGATCCCTCTTCCTGTTGAATCTTTTTACATAGTTGCTGCCGCTGCTTAGCAGCCCATCTCCTGGCCGCAGACGCCCTCTCAGGAACTGCAGCAGAAGGGCAGGTAGCTGCCGTCTCTTGTGGTAGATCTGACCCATCACAATGTATCTACTTCCTGCAAAATAACACATAATTGACGCTGGATTGGTTTATTTTCATTGTTTTTTTCCTAAAATGAAACAAGGAAATGAACCACGCCTGTTCCCGTTTGGATGATTGTAGCTTAGTCACGTTTTCTTTTAACATCAATTGGGCTAAAACCAAATGTGTTAAAGTAGCAAAATTCAAATTATTAATAAAGCAAGAGATGGGCAAAAACTGGAACTGGCTATGCCAACTCCCCCCACCGTCACCTTGACTTTTGGAGGTTGGATAAAAGAAGCAGGTCTGCTTGCGGGTGAAAGCTTCAGCAGGGCAAATGTTTTACAGAATGTATTTTTAGGGGATTGAATGGCTTTAACCATTCTGCCTTACAGACCGTTGGGCTTGTTTTGCAGATATGGGGAAACCAGAAAGAAAACAGTTTGTGTGTCCCCTGCTCCTAAATGAATCTGTTCCTTCTGCCCAAACTGTCCCATGAACCCCTTTTAAATCTAGCCTAACTGAAATCCCACACCACCGAAAGGAGAAATAGACTGGATTTTGCTGGGAATCATTACCAAGTTTAAAATCTGGACATGGTTTACTGCAGTTTAAAGCATCCACAACGAGAATGTGAACTCGGAAGAAGAAACCATCGGGGGTGATATACAGGCGACTCATCTTGTATAATCCGTCGCTATTTACCAAGAGTGTAACCAGGCGGACTCCTTTCTCCAGTGTTTCCACATCATGAACAATCCCATTCACTGCTGTTTTAAGAAGGGAGAGAGGGAAAATGATCACTCGCTACACTTGCTAGTGGAACATTGATACTCAGCTCATGATACATGTGGATGCTCTAAACGAATCACAATGGTGCAGTGAACAGAAGTCTTAGTTTATAAAGTACTTCAAAGTTGAGTCCTAGGTGGTGTTGAATAACAGTGCAGGTTGGGAATGGTAGGGTTGAGTAGTCACTTGAAAGGGAGAAGAAAAAGAAACATTCATTAGAGTATTCTGCTGTATTACTATATTACACTAGAGTATTATCTAATTTGAGAGGAGAGTCCTCTTGCTCAGTGTCCCCAATGCAGTTTGCTGAGGTAGCAAGCGTCCTAATCTTAGCCAACCACGTGGAGCTGTGCTACACCATTTCTGCCTCAAAGACTCAGGCCTGGGCTGAATTAACCAAGGGACTGGAAAATCCCCCACATGTATTCTAGATAGACTGCGATAAAGTCACTGGAGAGGTAAGGCTAGAAAACTTCCTTGACAAAGGTCAAGGCCATATCTGCCTCATGGCGTGAAAACTTCTCTTTGATGCAGCCACTAGCCTTTTAATCTCTAGATGTAAATTCATGAGGAGTAAAGCCCCTTCTGTGATCACTCTAGGGGAACCATGGCCATGGGGCTGTGCAGATTAATGTTCATTCAGGCTGGGTTAAGAGACATGCTTTTTTTGTTTGTTTTTAATTTAAGAAATAAATGAAATTGTTTAATCATTAAAGGATGAAATACGGAGAGGGCCAGTACAAGGCCTCGATCAGAGACCTATGTGCTGGGCGTCATTCTAAAATTTTGACTAGAAGGAAATTAAGGAATGTTTACATTTGTAGAAGACTGCCTAATGTCTAGTCAGGCAAAACAGATGCCTCATAATATGCTTATTTTCTGGAAATAGAAACACCTGTTAACTGGTGCTAGGCATGTATTTTACTTATCTACTTTTAAATATTGAGAAACACCATCTAATCCCCTGCTTCTTTGATAATGAGACACAGCTCCATTCAGAAAACTTGTGCGCCTATTTCCAGTGCAATTAACCCAGAACTACACTATCTTTTGCTATCATCTATGTGTGTGACAAAATGGCCATTAGAACCTATTGCAGCATGACCGCTGCAGGCAGAAGTCCTAGGAAGCTAAAGCGGAGTCCGGAATGCCGACAGCATGCTATTCAGGCCAACATCTGGCATGGTCTTCCATCCAAATGATATCCTAAAACTCATTAGAGCTAGGTAAATAATGCAATGGCAGTTAAACAATACAGCTACAAAGGTAGAGGGAGAGAGATGTATCCAGCTGTGGGTTAATAAGAAATGGAGAATCATATAGACGGCTTGTGAAATGGCTTTAGCACTGACAGTGATGTGTGGATGGAGTGGGGACACTAAGAAGGTCAGTGCCAGACAGAAAGGGGATGAGACAGTGAAACATGATTGATGCTATTTGTTGTGTATGAATAGGAACATCTGTGATGGGTGCCTTAAAAACAGTTGTTAGAATAGGCTGGAGCAAGCCCAAGAAGGCTTTTAAAAACAAGAACGGAAACGTATGTGCTAGTAGCATGGGCCAATGAGAGTGTCTGGTATGCCTGCCTGTAAGTGAGAATATATGCAATGGAACAAAACGGTCTTACCAAATTCACTCACACAGAAAGCCTCTGCTTCATCCTTCTCCCTCCTGCACTCCGTCAGGCACACCTTCTCCTTGTTGTCAGCATCTAGAACTGCAACAGGCATGTATGTTGTGGATGTGCAGCATTAACACAACATGCCCCCTGGAGTTCAGGACTGAAAGTAAGTAACCCTATTCTCCTGAGAGGTCACAAAGTCCCTTCCAATAGAGGTTCCCCCTTACCTTTCTT